ACCACTTTTACTCACTCTCGGGATGATCTGTCACTGAAACGGGAAGGGTTCCCTTGTTCCCCTGCAGGTTTTCTAATATGAGACAAAGTGCGGCATGCCGGTTTGCTGCACCTGTCAACCATCACCTAGGTGTTAAGCCCCGCATACATTAGCCCTTTACCCCCATGCTCTGCCTGTCCCGCTTCCCCCGCAGCAGGCCCCCGTGTGTGTTGCTCCCCATTCTAACACTGTGCACATTCTAATATGACTCCCTTCCTAGTGACGAATCTAAGTGATGAGTAAGGGAAATTCTCTTGCTTTTGTCTGGAGAAGCTCCCTGGCTTCAGGTTCCTGATAGGCGTGAGGATCTGGGGTGTGGTGTGAGAAACAGATGGCTCCGTGAAGAACTGTGAGCATCCACTTAGGTCCCCAGAAATAGCCGTATCTCTTAGCTGTGTGGGGCTGTGTGCAGGAGGGCCTGGGAGGTAAGTAGCAGTGAGCTAATATGTAGTGATTGTGAATGTGTCTGTCCATGTGCTTCTTTTCCCTGCAAATGTGGACTCACGTGCACGACACAGTACAAGTGCCACATTTTTGAATTCCTGGCCTATCCTGTCCCCTCAGCCTCCTGAGTCATGTCATTCATCCAATAAAAGGAAGGAAAAAACCCACAACGACCTACACTTCATATAAATCACCTCTTTCCTCTTCCCCGCAGCTGTACCTGAAGGCCAGTTTAATATCCTACTTCGTTACTGTGGGATGGGAAGGGTACAGAAAGAATGAATCCAGAACGTGGCATGAAAGAGGCAAACATGAACCCAGAAGTGGGTCCCAGGGTCAGTGCTCTGTGTTATTCAACAGCGTCACTTCTTCGTCTCCCATTAGCACCCTCATAGTTTTGGGGATGTTGACCAGTGGCTCAGCCACTGTACCGCTTCTGGTTTTCCAATATTGCCAAGGGAATAACAGACCTATGTGAGGTGCACAGCGGGATCCCTCTGCACAACGCTTTCTTCTGTATAATTGCAGAGAACATCATGGGAGAGAATACACAGTGGGCACCATGAAGGAACCCACTTCGTGAGGGACCGACTTGCTGCCTGAGTGCATGGAAACCTGATTCTGGACCCTGCTGGGAAGGAGGATTGGGGTCTCCTGGGAAAAGTTACTGTGACAATATAGAACTCCAGCCAGAGAGGCTATAGGAAGCTTTGTCAACCCAGAGAAAAGACCAGGGAATCATGTGTGAGGCAGCCTGGCTTCAGCTGGATGAGGAGTGGGGCGAGTCACTCTTTCTAATGACTTGACCTGATTTTTATTTTTATTTTTTGATACAGAGTCTCACTCTGTCACTGAGGCTGGAGTGCAATGGCACAATCTTGGCTTCCTGCAACCTCCACCTCCTGGTTCAAGTGATTCTCCACCTTAGCTTCTGAGGTAGCTGAGACCACAGGTACGCACCACCACGACCAGATCACTACTGTATCGTTAGTAGAGACTGGGTTTCACTATATGGCAAGACGGATCACAAATGTCTGAGCATGTGATCCGACCCACCTCAGCTTCTCAAAGTGCTGGGATCACAGCTGTGAGCCACTGCGCCTGGCCTGAATCTATTTTCCTAACAATGCTGAGGTTAAGTTTCTCCCATATTCTTTCTGATTCTAAAGGACAGTGCCTTTCTGTACTAACCAGTCTTAAAGGTGACTATTTTCACACTAACAAGGTAGTCACAGCCACAAAGCCAGGGCTCTTTCGTTCTTTCTGCCCCTCTCCTTTGCCTTCCTTCAGCACCAAGGAGAGTGGTCCAGCAGCAGCTCAGTCCATGCAGGTCAACCGCCCAGCTCCACACACTCCAGCCCCCGTCCACGTTCCCCAAAGCCCTTGTGGATGCCTTAGCAGCACCAGTGCACTGACTGTCTCTCTGTGTTCTCCTAGGTCCTGTTCAGATCCTACAGCATCTCACCATGGAAGATATAGAAGATGACGAGATAGATGCCCTCTGACCTGATAGATGCCTTTCTTCGTCTCAAAAAGAAATGTCTTTGTCTGGGGCTTCTAGAATATCAAGTGAATATCCGTTTTGACTGCCATTGTGAATCAGGCCCCAGTTGCTCATGGGCTCCAGTGACCGTCACTGGAATTTGGGAGTGTCATCCCAACTAATACGTGATGATACACTGGGAGGGCTTTAAACGACAGCATGGATTATCCGCTGTAACACACCGATTCTCAATGTCAGTTGAAACACGGCACCACTGGCAAACTGTCTGAGAGCGAGCACATTTCTCAGTAGCAACTTTTTCTTCTTGAAAAATAATTTTGTGTTTCTCAGCCGCCAGGGACACTTGCTAAATACTCTGAGAAAACCACTGGCCTTTCCACAGGCATCCTCTATGCTTCATTTGGGGGCCAGTGACTTGATCGCTGTTTGATGTCTGGTTTTCTAATGTCACACATGAATAAAAGTCCCGTGGAATCAGGACCCAGCATGATATCATGCTCGTTGTTTCTGTTTTTCTTTTTTTTTCCCTCTTATTGCAGGAAAATTCTATTCCCAAACAAGAGCAATGTATGTATCCTTTAAAAAAAAAAAAAAAAACAGCTTTATTGAGATGTAGTTGACACACAAATCAGTTCACCCATTTAAAGTGGGTGATTAAATGGTCAGTGTTTTACTATATTTACAGGGTACTGCGAGCATTTTTACACTCTAATTTTAGAACCTTTTAATCCCCCCTCAAAGAAACCCTGTCAGTAGTCACTCCCGTTTTCCCCCAACCCCCACCACTCCTGGTTCTAGGCAGCCCTAATTTACGTCCTGTTTCTGTGTTAACCAGTTTCTTAGGCTATTTGCCATTGATGAGGTGGCCCTATCTAGAAAAGCCAAGGCTGTTTAATTTCTTTCTGCCCTTCCCTTTGCCTTTCTTCGCACCAAAGAGAATGGGTCCAGCAGCAGCTTAGTCAAAACTACTATTCACTTGATATTCTAGAAGCTTGACAACCACCATGCTTATCAACCGCCCAACTCCACACAATCCAGCCCCATCCACATTCCCCGAGCCTCCTCGTGGGATTCCTCAGCAGCACCAATGCACTGACTGTCCCTCTCTGTTCTCCTAGCTCTGGTTCAAGACCTGGGGATGTGTGCACGTGACAAACTGAAGGAAGAGATGTCATCAAACACAGGAAGCTGCATTTCCTTGTCTGGAAGAAAAATGGTTACTTCCAAAGGCTTCTAGCGTAGTCAGTGCATATCAGTTTTCACTGACACCGTGAATCAGGCCTCATTTGTTCATGGACTCTAGCGACCGGTCCCTAGAGTTTGGAAGTGTCTTCCCAACTATACGTAATACACTGGGAGGTTTCTAATAACAGCATCCATTATCCGCTGTAATGCATTGATTGACAATGTCAGTCAAACACGGCCTCACTGACAGACTGTCTGAGAGCGAGCATATTTCTCCGTAGCAACTTTTTCTTCTTGAAAAATAATTTTGTGTTTCTCAGCCGCCAGGGACACTTGCTAAATACTCTGAGAAAACCCACTGCCTTTCCACAGGCATCCTCTATGCTTTACTTGGGGGCCAGTGACTTGATCACTGTTTGACGTCTGGTTTTCTAATGTCACCAAGTGAATAAAAGGCCTGTGCCTACGGGACCCAGGATGAGCTGATCCTCATGTTGTTTTTTTTCTCTTGTTGCAGGAGAACCCTACAGCCCAAAATCGCCATCGTAAGTATTCTTTAAAACAAACAAAAAAAAAAACCCAGCTCTATTGACACATGTTTGACATTCAGAACAATTCACCTATGTACAGTGTGTGATTCCGTGTTTTTACTATAATTTACATGGTTGTGCACACATGTTTACAATCTAATTATAGAATCTTTCATTCCCCTTAGGAGTCACTTCTCTTTTCTCCCCAAGCCCACATCCCTGGCCGTGGGCAGCCACTAATCCATTTTCTCTTTCTCTAGATTTGCCTACTCTGGCAATTTCTTTTTTAATTCCATTTTATTTTCAGCTTGAAGATATGTGTGCAGGATCTGCAGGGTTTTGTTGTTGTTAATGAATGAGAGCTTCTTAGGTTGCTCAGGTTGGCCTTGAACTCATAGCCTCGCCTCCTTATGCGCCAGGACAACTGGCCGGAGCCACCGCGGCTCCCTGAAGGTTTTTTAATATAGGAAAAAGTGCGGTATGGCGGTTTGTTGCACCCGTGAACCCATCACCTAGGTGTAAGCCCCGCATTCATTAGCCCTTTACCCCCATGCTCTGCCTGTCCCGCTTCCCCCGCAGCAGGCCCCCGTGTGTTGCTCCCTCTCTAACACTGTGCACATCTAATACCACTCCCTTCCTAGTGACAAATCTAAGAGATGAGTAAGGGAAATTCTCTTGCTTTTGTCTGGAGAAGCTCCCTGGCTTCAGGTGCCTGATAGGCGTGAGGATCTGGGGTGTGGTGTGAGAAACAGATGGGTCCGTGAAGAACTGTGAGCATCCACTGAGGTCCCCGGAAACAGCATATCTCTTAGCTGGTGTGGGGCTGTGTGCAGGAGGGCTGGGAGGTAAGCAGCAGTGAGCTAGTATGTAGTGATTGTGCATGTGTCTGTCCATGTGCTTCTTTTCCCCTGCAAATGTGGACTCACGTGCACAGCACAGTGCAAGTGTCACTTTTTGAATTCCTGGCCTATAGTGATCCTGTCACCTCAGCCTCCCAGGTCATGTCATTCATCTAATTAAAGGGAAGAAAAGAGACCGGCGGCGGCGGCACCACATTCAGGCCGGGCCGGCGCGGGAGGAGTTCCGGGGCCACGGGGCCGCGGGCCGGGCTGACGCTTTGACAGCTGGAAAGAGCGCGGAGCCAGCGCCTGGGCGGGAGGGAGGGAAGCGCGGCGAGGAGAGCGAGTGAGCGAGCGCCGGGGAGGGGCCGGGAGCGGGGGCAGCTCGGGAGAGCCGGGGCGGCGGCGGCGAGACTCGGCGTCCTCTTCCCAGCAAACCACGTTTGCCGAAGGCAAAGGCTCGGCGCTGCCCTCGGACGGGCGGGCTCGGGAAAAGTCAGCTTTAAACGTCTACGAGTATTTACTGCACGTAGGAGCCCAGAAATCTGCACAGACTCCTTATCCGAGATTCGATGGGAAAAAGACATCACGCTGGGAGAACCGCCTGGGGTTTTGCACCCGTGGCGGCGTTTTGGGACCTTTCCTGGGCAGCTCCTGAAAGGAGAGGCGCTTGTGAACATCCAAGTGAAGCAAAAGCCTGTCGTGATTCTAGTGCAGCAGCTGCCCCGAGCCCCGTGCTTGGCAACATTCCCCCCAATGATGGGGTGCCGGGAGGCCCCAGCCCGCCAGGTTTCTTTCAGGGTCCTCCGGGGTCACAGCCCTCGCCGCACGCACAGCCTCCACCTCACAATCCTAGCAACATGATGGGACCCCACAGTCAGCCTTTTATGTTACGGAGATATGCAGGCAGCCCCAGGCCCCCGATCAGAATGGGAAGCCAGCCTCCGGGAGGGGTTCCTGGGACACAGCCATTGCTGCCCAATTCCATGGATCCCACACGACAACAAGCCCACCCCAACATGGGAGGATCAATGCAGAGAATGAACCCTCCCCCAGGCATGGGGCCCATGGGTCCTGGCCCACAGAATTACAACAGCGGCATGAGACCATCACCCAACTCCCTCGGTCCCCCCCATGCCCGGATTAACATGGGCCCCGGAGCTGGCAGGCCCTGGCCCAATCCTAACAGTGCTAACTCGATTCCATACTCCTCCTCATCACCCGGTACCTATGTGGGACCCCCTGGTGGTGGGGAACCCCTGGTGGTGGCGGCCCTCCAGGAACACCCATTATGCCCAGTCCCGCAGATTCAACTAATTCCAGTGACAACATCTACACAATGATTAATCTGGTGCCTCCTGGAGGCAGCAGGTCCAGCTTCCCAATGGGTCCCGGCTCGGATGGTCCGACGGGCGGCATAAAGCCACACCACATGAACGATCGTTAGGGTCAGACCACGTAGATGGACTTCCAAAAAATTCTCCTAACAACATAAGTGGCATTAGCAATCCTCCAGGCACCCCTCGAGATGATGGCGAGCTAAGAGGGAACTTCCTCCACTCCTTTCAGAACGACAATTATTCTCCAAGCATGATGATGAGTGTGTGATTCCCCCTTCTCCAAGACGCTGAGAGAGCCAGCATTGCAGGTGGGAAGATGCCAGAAATTATGCAAGAAGTGAGGTGTCATTATCTAGGAGCTGGTGGGGAGGGCATCTCCCTGCTCCCCTCAACCCCCTCCCACCCCTCCCACCCCCTCCACCTTTCCCAATTTTAGTTTCATCCAATAAAAAGGCCGAACTTTTTATTCCATAAAACATGAAGGACAAAACTCAAAATGTATTTCGAGTCAGTGACCAGGAAAATCCTACCCCTCGCTCTTTCCCCAAAGGACCTTTTCTGTACATGACACTTTTTTGTTGTTTCTTTGGGATTTTACCATTGTTGGGAGTTTTTTATTTGTTTTCAGGGGGGTTTTTTGTGGGAAGAATTTTAAATGGAAGCTTCTAGCAAGCCCCCCACCACAACCAACCCCTATGCTTTCTTCTTAAAATAAAAAAAAAAAAAGAAAAAGAAAAAGAAAAAAAAAAAGAAAACCGGAAGCCCTGCTGACCGTGCCCAAGCCCTTCTACCAGGAAGCTAGTCTAGGTGTGAGAGCCTACATTGTCTGCAGCCATCAAAAATAATAATAAACTGGATAGGTTACAATACATACAGGAATACATAATAATAACGGGAAGAAACATTTCCAATCACCACACACTTCACATAAGTCACCTTTTTCTCCCTCACCACAGCTGTACTGAAGGCCAGTTTAATATCCTACTTAGTTATTGTGGGATGGGAAGGGTACAGAAAGGAATGAACCCAGATTTTGACCTCCTGAATGAAAGAGGAAAACATGAACCCAGAAACGGGTCCCAATGTTGATGCTCTGTGATATTCAACTGTGTCACTCAGGCATGGGTTAAGGTGTCCCCACACCAGGGAGTTCCAGCACTTATGTACACCTGGAACTGTCATGACGTATGAGCATGCCAAACATTGCCCATCATCAAACGGGGCCTCAGTGGTCACATAACTCAGGGTAGCAAAAGGCATATGGAAAAACAGGCCATTAACGTGGATGTTACTGTGAAGTACACATGGAAAGCCCAAGGCTTCTGGTCAGCTCAGAGATTCTGAGAAGTAAGGGAACCACACAGAACAGTGTATGCCAACGTGTGTTAGTGCTGGGGTCACTCCTCAGCACTTAGTGAAAACAGGGAAAAGTCAGGAAGATATTGTATTGTATTGAAGAGCATGACCACCTCAAGCCTCAGAATTGCTCTAATCTGTGCAGACAGACAAGGGCCAGTGCCACGTGAAAATGCAGAGGACAACATGTTGTTAGCCTGGTGCCCATCACCAGGTATAGCAGGTTCTGGGAGCTCGGCCTGTTGAATGAAGCCTGATGTTTAGGGAATCTCCTCAGGGAGAGTGACACAGAAGCTGCTTTGGCCCCTGATTACAGGGGCACAAAAATGTGTGTGCAACCATGGTTCCAAACGAAGACTTTAAAAAAGAGAAATCATGTTGATCTTTAATCGTAGCTTTAGTATCAAAATTTTTCCTGACCTATATGAAAAAGAATGTGTGATAAATAACTTGGCTAAAATGGAATCAATTTCGCCCATAAAGTGGGCCTTTAACGAAGTAATAAATTCTTTAAAAGAGATGATAAATGTAGTACCAGCATGGTAGGGTCCTGAGTACTGACACGGTCTTGAATACATTCAGAAAATGCACTGGTTTAGAAGAGCTTCAAAAACATGTGAGAGGGAGAGAGGCCCTTTTCCACTGCACCTTAGTGTGCCTTTCAGTTTCCATTTTCGGCTGACTCCTTTGTGCTGCTGCCTGACTCTAGTACAGGGCAGAGACCTCCATGTCTCATCTCCTTCCTGCTGCCCTCCCTTGCCAGCCCTCTTCCACCCAGGGGGATGGCCCAGCATCAACTCAGTCCGTGCTTCATAATCCCCCACCTCCATACCCCACATCCAGCAAAGCTCCCTGAGTAATTCACAGCCACCAACCACCAGGGTGCTGAGCTTTCCCCTGGGTCCTTTCAGTGTCTTTGGACAACTATGCCAGCACTATGAGCCTAAAATTGTGGGAGGAAGAAGATGATGAAAACTATATGAATCTGATTCAGGGATCCCGCTAGGAAGGATGATTGGGGGTCTCCTGAGAGAAAGTGATTTAGCCAATATAGAACTCCATGGAGAGAGGCTGTAGGAAGGTTTATCAACTCAGAACAAAGACCAGGAAATGAGGTATGAGGCCGCGTGGCTTCAGCTGGGGGTAGAGGAGGGGGTGAGTCACTCTTTCTAATGACTTGTCCTGATGCTTTTGTTTCTAAAGGGTGGCTTCTTGGAGCCTCTTCATTGGGGGTCGTCTTCATTGAGTCTGAATACGACCCCCAAGGTAGGGAACTACTTTATCAACTCAGAACAAAGACCAGGGAATGACGTGTGAGGCCGCGTGGCTTCAGCTGGAGGAAGAGGAGTGGGCGAGTCACTCTTTCTAATGACTTGTCCTGATGTTTTTGTTTCTAAAGGCTGGCTTCTTGGAGCATCTTCAGAGTCAATGAAGACGACCCCCAAGATTGGGAACTGCTTTCCAGGTAGGACCTAATGGGAAAGGGTTCCTAAGAGCCTTCAGGTTATCCCCGCTGCTTGAGGGGCTGAAGCAGGGGGTATGAAATCAGAAAGAAAATGAAAATGTGTGTGAGGTTTGGTTTGTTATTTTCAAAGTTTCTTGTCATAAAGGTAGGAACTGTGTCTCTGGGCTATGAGGGTGCTGTGATCATTAGAGATGATCTCTGCAGTACACCTGCTCTTTTCTGCCCAGTGAAGCATCAAAACCTTTGGTTTGGATTAATCAGCAATTTTGGGGATTGTGCACATAATAAGATATAAAACTAGTGGCACCCTGTATCCAGTCTGGGGCGCTTCATTAAACCCAGAACTGAGTTTGACGCTGTCTGTCATTTGCTTTTCTTGATGAGAACCCTGAACACCTAACCATTGCCAGCACCCTCTTTTGAGACCCTCAACATCAAGGGTCTGGAAGAGAACATCTGAGAGGGTGAGAGGGCACTCCCTCCCTTCACTCCTTGAAGCTACAGTGAAGCTGTAGTGAACCAGTGAAGACATCCCTGGTTCATCCCTGAAGTTTCTCTGCCACATTTACGTCGACCTCCTCCTTAAGGGAACTGCTCTGACTGCCAATGATTTGTTTAGACTTCCCCAGGTTTGGAATATTATACATAGAATACGTCAATATGTATTTCTTGGTGTCTGGCTTTTTTGCTCATGTTATTATTTTAAAATTCATTCATGTTCTAAAGGGTGTTTTCTTACATGTCTGGTGCTCACCTGGGAGTGTGATTCTTTATTCAGTAAAAGTAGCATAGACGTTTTCTTCCCTTTCGTTTAGCAGCTTAATAATGGTGATTGGATGCCTGCCATCTTCCCAAGGTGAAGAGTTATTATCAGGGTGAGCTCAAAGTTATGTTACTGTATGGGATACCTCTGAGCCCACCGTGGGTCTACTTTATGGATGATGACAATGACCCACCGTGCCTCTTCTGGTGGCCCTAAGGATGCTCCTGAGAGAACCCAGCACACCTGGATGACTTTCTGCTCTCTGTTCACAATCTGTTCTGGGCACATCTTTCCCCTGCCTCATGCCTGAAGCTGGCCATTAACCCAAGTGGGCTGGTTCCTTGAAGTGGGAAGCGGGATTTGGAGATCACACTTCGGTGCTACTCACACAGCCCTTTTGAGCCAGACACTCCAAACACACCCAAAATGGAGACAAGACCCTGAGAGGGTGATAGGGGCTTGCTTCCAACTTCTCCCTGGAGGTTAAAGCTGTAATTTCTTACTAGCACCTGGCGAGACCCATTCCCAAAAAGACACCACCAGGGAGGCTGGGAGGGAGACCCCTGCAGTTGTGGCTGTAGTCACATCGGTTGCTGACTGTGGGGTAGGCTGCCCTTTCTCTGGGCATTGGGGACACCTGAGGATGCCTGCCTGCTCTTATCCTCTGGTCACACCAGGAGGCTAGAGTTACAACAACCCTGTAGAGTAAAGAATCCCTGTCCCCTTCCACGCCACATCACTCCTTAGGGAAGCAAACACCCCTCCTCCTCCCTGGCAGGATCCATCTCCAGGAAACCGACTACCTTCCTGCCTCAGGCCCAGCCCTCCTCAGTTTTGTGGCTCTGGGAAAGTCACTTGGCCCCTCTACATTTCAGTGCCCTCAACTGTAAAATGCGGGATACAGCCTGGCCCCGCGCACCCCACAGGGCTCATGTGAGCGTCACAAGAGATGGCGTGTCTTAAGGCATCTTGCCCATATAAAGGCTAGAAACTGACCTTCCACCCCCCCATGATTTGTACCCATCCAAGCTTCCTCTCTGGAGGCAGCCACTGCTACCTGTCTGCCTCATTCTTTTAGATAGTCTATGTTTGAACACTTTTGTGGCACTTATGAAGTCATTCTTCTTCAGGCTTAATGTGGATCTGCTTAGAGTAAGCTTCATAACATAATGCTAACAGGCAGGCCCCATGTACATCTCCACATCACACAGCAGGGAACTGAGCACAGAGGGGTTCAGTCTCTTTCCCAGAGTTACACAGCTTCTAGCTGCCATCTGAGCCCAGGCCATCAGGCACCTGCCCCTTGCCCTCGGTCACTGAGCTCAGCTGCCTTCTTGAGTTTCCTCCTCTCGTTAGAGTAACATCCCCAGTGCAATCAGCCTGTTGTGTATTGTAAGTGCCCACCACACAAAAGGACCCCTCCTTCTAAGCCCAACTTTGACTCAGTCTCCCTTAGGCAGCTGGTGAACACAAGTGTAACCTGGGAAACATGAGCACTGGCCCATGGTCTCCTGCCAGGAGCATATCAACAGTGGTCTCTACTTTGAATGTATTTTTCTCATGCTCATGGCTCATGGATACAACAAGAGATCATGATAGATTTAAGTACAGGATATGCCAGAAAAGTGATCTGGATACAAGGAAACCTCCTGCCCATCCGCAGGAGCATCTAAATCAGCCTCTGGCCAACAGCAGGTGGAGCCTCAGTCGTCACCCCCTGCCAGCTTCTCCACTGAAGGTGCTGTGGACTTGAAGCCATCAGGAGATTTGGAGTCATGGTTTATACAGCAGGGCCTGAGTCTTGGTGAGAAAGGGTAGGAGCAGGAAGCCGCCCACTCAGAGCTGGGTCAGCCTCTGATCCTTCTCAGTTAGGCCTGAGTCCAGGCTGCTCGGGCAGCTGTTCTGGTCAATAGGCACTGAGACCCTGGCAGCTTGTTGGATTCACTCCCCGAGCTGTCCAAGCACCAGCCCCACAGGCCACTTTTTCACTTAATGAGTCTTAACTGCCCAGCAGCCTGGTTTGGTCGGTTGAAGATGAATCTGATTCTAAGTCCAACTGTCACAGGGACAGTTGGCTGGGAACGTCCTGCATTCCGAGTTGGTTGGGAGTCAAGGAGGCTCCTGGTCATTCAGGGAGGTCACCCCACAAGGCAGATACAGGGTCAAGTGTGGGCAAGACACACTCTAAACTCCTCTGGCTGCAACCTGAAGGCAGATAGGGAGGAGGATGCACGGGTGTTGGGGGTGCAGCAGCACTCATACCTGCATGGAAGCTTGTCCTACCTCTGCACAAGGTGGACTCCCAGTGATTGTTTTTGGGAGGGGAAGGTTTCTGTTGCCATCAGAAACAGATGGACAAAGGATAGGAGTGTCAGTGTAGCTGGGCACAATGGCTCACATTTGTAATCCCAGCACTTTGGGAGGCTGAGGTGGGTGGATCACAAGGTCAGGAGTTCAAGACCAGCCTGGCCAACATGATGAAACCCTGTCTCTACTAAACATACCAAAAATGAGCTGGGTGTGGTGGCACGTGCCTGTAATTCCAGTTACTCGGGAGGCTGAAACAGCAGAATCGCTGGAACCCAGGAGGCAAAAGTTGCAGTGAGCGGAGATCACACCATTGCACTCCAGCTTGGGCAACAGGGCAAGACTCCATCTCAAAGGAAAAATAAATAAATAGGTGGAAAATAAACAGTTCAGCTTATCAGGAGCATAAGAACTCCAGACCAGGGAGGCATCCTCAAACCCAGCTCTAAGACAGCAGTTAAGGTGCAGTGGGGAAGGGACGCCGGCTTTGCAGCCAGGCAACTCTGAGATCTGCCCTTCCTGACTGTGTGACCTCGGGTGATTTACTTAATGTCTCCAGGCCCCTAATCTTCCTCATCTATAAGTGGACGTAGTAATACCCAGCTTATAGGGTCATGGGGAAGATAAAAATGTGAAACTTGATGTAAAGAACTTAGCACAGTACTTGGAATGTTAACAGAATGGAAGAAATGATTGTTATTATCATTAGTCACACTACTTTTTATTTATTTATTTATTCATTTATTTTTTGAGAGGGAGTCTTGCTCTGTCACCCAGGCTGGAGCATAGTTGCTCAATCTCGGCTCACTGCAACCTCCACATCTTGGGTTCAAGCAATTCTCCTGCCTCAGCCTCCCGAGTAGCTGGCACTGTAGGCAGGAACCACCACACCCGACTAATTTTTTGGTATTTTTAGTAGAGATGGGTTTTCACCATGTTGGCCAGGCTGGTCTTAAACTTCTGACCTCAAGTGATCCTCCCACCTCAGCCTCACAAGGTGGTGGGATTATAGGTGTGAGCCACTTGCCCAGCACATTTTTTAAAAACAATTTCAGGCCAGGTGTGGCGGCTCATACTTGTAATACCGGCACTGTGGGAGGCCTAAGTGGGCAGATCACTTGAAGTCAGGAGTTCGAGACCAGCCTGGACAACATGGTGAAACCCCATCTAAAACAGAAACAAAAAAGGTCTGGTGGTGTGCACCTGTGATTCCAGCTACTGGGGGGCTAACGAGGCAGGGTCACTTGAGCCATGATTGCAACACTGCACCCCAGCCTGGGTGACAGAGTGAGACCCTGTCTCTAAACACACACACACACACACACACACACACACACACAAACACACACAAAATGTTTCCACCTGTGTAATTTTATTTGATGAAAGTTATATATGGCTGGGCATGGTGGCTCACACCTATAATACCAGCACTTTGGTAGGCCGAGGTGGGCAGATCGCCTAAGGTCAAGAGATCGAGACCAACATGGCCAAGATGGTGAAACTCCATCTGTACTTAAAAGAAAAGAAAAAAAAATTAGCCAGGCCTGCTGGTGCACTCCTGTAGTCCCAGCTACCGGGGAGGCTGAGGCAGGAGAATAGCTGGAGCCCAAGAGGTGGGCGCTGCAGTAAGCTGAGATCTTGCCACTGTACTCCAGCCTGGGCCACAGAGTGAGACTCCCTCTCAAAAAAATAAACCAATTGGTAGGGCGTGGTGGCTTGCACCTGTAATCCCAACACTTTGTGAGGCCAAGGCAGGTGAGTTACCTAAGGGCGAGCTTTCAAGACCAGCATGACAAACATGGAGAAACCCTGTCTCTACTAAAAATTCAAAAATTAGCTGGGCATGGTGACATGTGCCTGTAATCCCAGCTACTTGGGAGGCTGAGGGCAGGAGAATGGCTTGAACGAAGGAGGCAGAGGTTTCGGCGAGCCTGGGTCACACCACTGCACTCCTGCCTGGGCAACAAGAGTGAAACTCCATCTCAAAATAAAATTAAATTACGGTTGTGTGTGTGTGTGTGTGTGTGTGTACATATATATAGGGAATCATTAGTATATGATTATATGGAATCTATGTCTAGAATATATACATGGGATCTTTTTACATGATTTCTTTTGATATATGCAGAATCATCAGTATATGATTATATATGGAATGTAGGTATGGAATCTTTTGCGACTGACTTTTCTTAGTCAGCATAGTACCCTTGAGGTTCATCTGAATTGCTGCTAATTAACCCACTGATCGTTGGGATTGGTTGCAGTTTTTGGCTGTTGTGAACAAAGCTGCTATGAACACAGGTTTTTTGTTTGTTTATTTGTTTGAGATTAAATCTTGCTCTGTCACCCAGGTTGGAGTGCAGTGGCACAATCTCGGCTCACTGCAACCTCCGCTCCCAGGTTCTAGCAATTCCCTGTCCCAGCCTCCCGAGTAGCTGGGATTACAGGTGGGCACCACCATACTCAGCTAATCTTCGTATTTTTAGTTGAGCAGGGTTTCACCGTGTTGGTCAGGCTGGTCTCGAACTCCTGATCTTGTGATCCACCCGCCTCAGGCTCCCAAAGTGCTGGGATTAGAGGTGTGAGCCACCACACCCGGCCTGTTTTTGTTTTTTAAATGTGAACGTAAGTTTACATTTCTCTGGAATAAATGCCCAAGATGGATTGTATGTTAAGTACATGTTGAGTTTATAAGAAATTACTAAAGTATATTCGAGAACAGCACTCGATATACTTTATAATATAAAATATATTCTCATCGGCAATGTATAAATGATCCAGTTTCTCCAGCATTTGGCACTTACTGCTATGTTTTATTCAGCCACTGATAAGTCTGTGGTAATATTCTGATAGGTCCGTAGTAATATTGTGGTTTTAATGTTCACTTCCCTATTGGCCAATGATGTCAAATACCTTTTTCATGCACCTGCCATCCACATATTGCTTTGGTAAAATCTTTGCTTCTGATTTTCTTTCAATTTTTAAAATATTGTGGTAATTTAGACAACGTAAAATCTACCATCCTGACTGTTTTTAGGTACAGAGTTGAGTCACATTAAACATATTAAATGTATTCACAATGTCACCCAATCATCACTGCCATCTGTCTCCATTTCTTTTTCTTTTTCTTTTTTTGAGACAGAGTCTCCTTCTGTCACCCAGTGCAGTGGCAGGATCATGGCTCACTGCAACCCCACCTCATTCTACTTTCTGTCTTCACCATTTTGAATATTATTGTTTTTGCTTTTGTTTTGAGACCGTCTCGCTCTGTCGCCCAGGCTGGAGTACAGTGGCTTGATCTCGGCTCACTGCAACCTCTGCCTCCTGGGTTCAGTGATTCTCATGCTTCAGCCTCCCAAGTAGCTGGGATTACAGGCATGTGCCATCATGTCCGGCTAATTTTTGTATTTTTAGTAGAGATGTGGTTTCAGCATGTTGGTCAGGCTGGTCTTGAACTCCTGACCCGGCCGGACAAGGTGGCTCACACCTGTAATCTCAGTCAGCACTTTGGGAGGCCAAGATGGCAGATCACAAGGTCAGGAGTTTGAGACCAGCCTGGGCAACATGGTGAAACCCTGTCTTTACTAAAAATACAAACATTAGCCACGCACGGTGCCGGGTGCCTGTAATCCCAGCTACTCGGGAAGCTGAGGCAGGAGAATGGCGTGAGCCTGGGAGGCGGAGACTGCAGTGACCCCAGATCTGCAACCTCCTCCTCGGGTTCAAGCGGTTCTCCTGCCTCAGCCCCTCCAGTAGCTGGGATTACAGGCGGGCGCCACCACGCCCGGTTAATTTTTGTATTTTTAGTAGAGACGAGGTTTCAGCATGATGGCCAGGTGGCTGGGATTCCCCCGCCTCGCCCCAGATCCCCGGGAGGCCAGCACGGCCCTCCCGTGGGTGTCACAGAGACAGACGCGATGCGGGTCCCTCTCCCTGGGAAGGGGCGGGCTGGGTCCAGTCCGCAGGGCCCCTCCGGGCGCTGACCTCGGATGGAGTTGAGGTGCTGCGGCGCTGGACCCCAGGGCCCCTGCCTGCCTCCTGGGGAGCCGGGTGACCCAGGCAGCCCCGGTGAGGCCCCCGGGCTCCCACAGGACGGATGCGGACAGGGAAGCCGGGGAGGCCTCCCTGCTGGACTGTCCCTGCAGCCCCAGCTTTCCGTGGTTCTAAGGGCCCCCTCTGCAGAGGGACCAGGGAGCCCGCCCTGCATCCTGAGGCGCCGCGCTCGAGGGACCCCACAGCTCAGGCCAGGCCGCTTCCTTTGCGGATCGTGAAGCTGAGGTCCAGAGGAGGGCAGGGGCAGGTCCTGGAAGCTCCCCAGGCAAAGGGAGCCGATCTCGGGGCTGGGGTCACAGGGCTCCACTCCTGTGATCTCTAGGGCCCTAGAGCCGGGGGGAGAGACTGGGGGGCCTTTCGTCCACCGCTGGGGCTGGGCAGAGGCTCAGCCTGTGCCGCAACGCGAAGCTGCTTCTGTGCAGTCCGAGCCGCGGCCCCTTTAAGAAGGGGTGGTGCGTCAGCCAGTCGCTAGGGACGCTGCGGGCGTGCGCGCCTCTACGGAAGCCGAGACGGCGCTTTCCGCGGGGCCCGGGCAGAAGCCGCGGCGTCGTTGAAGCGAACTGAAGCGGCGGCGATGTGGTCGGAGCGAGCGAAAGCGGCGGCCAGAGTCTGGGGCGTCGTCCTAGTGGGCAGAAGCGCAGTCGACGTCCCAGCGAGCAGAAGCGACCGCGCGGTCCCAGCCGGCAAAAGCGGAGGCCGCGTCCCAGCGAACAGAAGTGGCGGCGTCCAGAAGCGGCGAGCTTCGGAGAAGCCGTGGTGGCTTCCATGTGATGGAGGAGCAGGAGGGACGCTTCCGCGGTAAGTGGCGGGGCATGGACCCCCCCGGAACCCTCCGGGCCTCCCTGCTCCTTCCCCACCGCTCGCTTTTGGGCCCTGACTCCTTGTGGGCATCTGGGCCCCAGTAGTCTGCGTGGCGGTGGTTGTGGGGTCCTGGCCGCCGCAGCGTGCGCACCCTGGCCGGGAACGGTGTGCGACCCGCGTCCAGCCTGTAGGAGCACCTGGCCCAGAGGCCGGTGAAGCGCGGGACCTGGGACCCTCCGAGCCCCCGGCCCTCTGAGCTGAGGTCCAGGGTTATTTTGATGTTTCGGGACCTTTAGAGAGAGACCTCGCTAGAACCAATAGAACAGGTGACATTTGTAGTGTGAATTCTTTGAGGAGTCTCCAGGTAGTTCGCTGTTTTCCGAGGTGTCTATTCTGATTCTCATTTACAGTGTATGAGTTCCCTTTTCTCCAAAACCATACCCGTGTTCCTTTTTTTTTTTTTTTTCCTTTGGAGACAATCTCGTTCTGCCCCGGCGGGAGTGCAGTGGTGCCATTTGGCCTCCCTGCAACCTGCACTCCCGGGTTCAAGCAATTTTCCTGTCTCAGCCTCCTGAGTAGCTGGGACTACAGGGGCCCGCCGCCACGCCAGGCTGATTTTTGTATCAGTAGTAAAGACGGGGTTTCTCCATATTGATCAGGCTGGTCTCAAACTCTTGACCTCAGGTGATCTGCTGCCTGGGACTCCCAAAACTTCTGGGATTACTGGCGTAAGCCACCGAGCCTGGCCTCTCCTATTTTTAAAAAACTTTCTAGGGATATTCAATAAGTGTGAGATTATCTATGTGTGGGTTTCAATTAAACCACACACAGTTAATTAACTGTTGGATAGTTAATTTTGAGGACCTTTTACCTGTTGTTCGATTTTCTGTCGCAGAATTGTCTGTTCAGGTCCTTTGCGAAATATTAGATTCTTTTGCTACTTTGTAGTGTTTTTTGTGTACACCTTAGGTGACAACTCATGAATTACATGATTACCTGAAATTTTTGCCTAATCTATAGGACGCTTTTTTAATTTGGAAGGTAGTTTCTTTGCCGTGCAGAAACTTTTCAGGTTGATGTAGTCCATGTTTATTTTTGCGTTTTGTGCATGTAATTCTGGTCACCCATATAAGAAAATACTTATCAGTGACAAAGCGTTTAATTGTCAAGGAGGTTTTCCTTCCAGGGTGTTTGTTTCTTTCTCTCTTTGCAAAGGTGAGCAGAGTCACGTGACCCAGAATATATGCTCAACCTGTGTTTTAGTTAAAACATTTTGTGCTATATGGTCTTTTGTTCTGGTCTTTGGGGGTTTTTTTGGTTTGTTTTTTGCCGGGGGGGGGGAGTTGATTTTCATATATCATGTAAAGTCAGGGTCCTGTTTCTCTCTTCTGCATTCAGATAGCATTTTTCTCAAAGGTATTCATTGAGCAGACTCTGCCTTCCACACTGCGGTGGTCTTTATTAAAGGGAGTTGACTGTGTCCATATTTGCGTTGATCTTGTTTTGTCCTCCCCATTTTTATCCACAATTCTAGGTTTGTTTTTTTTTTTTTTTTTGAGAGACAGGGTTTCACTCTTGTTACCCAGGCTGGAGTGCAATGGTGTGGTCTCCGCTCACCACAACCTCCGCCTCCTGGGTTCAGGCAATTCTCCTGCCTCAGCCTCCTGAGTAGCTGGGATTACAGGCACATTATCATGCCCAGCTAATTTTTTGTATTTTTAGTAAAGATGGGGTTTCACCATGCTGACCAGGATGGTCTCGATCTCTTGACCTCGTGATCCACCTGCCTCAGCCTCCCAAAGTGTGGGGATTACAGGCTTGAGCCACCGTGCCCGGCTAATTCTAGGTATTGATTTTATCCAGGTACCATATATGTGCTGCACAACTGCGGCTTGGCAGTGTGATTTAATATCCAGGATTGTGGGTCCTCACTTTGATTGAATTTCTCAGGATTCCTTTAGATATGAATTGCTTTTGTGGTTCCCTGTGATTTTTAGCAATGTGTATTTATTTCTGTTAACTTTTTTTTGCAACATAAAGGTGCATAATTAGGGGTACATTTTCACACATATAGATTGGGTAATGATCAAATCAGGGTACTTAGGATCTCTGTTCCCTCATAAGGTATTATTTTTGTGTGGAGAGAACACATACAATTCTCCTTTCTTGTTCTTTTGAAAAATACAATATTGTTAACTCCGGTCACCAGGCTGAGGAGAACACTCAGTTTGATTCCTTTAAGGTTAAGATAACTTTGCTACCAATCCCTACTCCCCCTCTATCTCCCAGACAGACCCTGGTAGCCAATACTGCGCTTTCTACCTCTTTAAGACAGACATCTTAAGATTCAGTGTTTGCCTTTCTTGGCCCAGCTCATTATGTTTAACATAATGTTTTCCAGGTTCATCTGGGTTGCTCCATATGACACTGTTTCATCGTTTTGGTGGCCGAAGAATATTCCCTAGTGTATGCATATGAGAGTGTCTTGATCCCTTTATCTGTGGATGGACAGGTTGGTTGAGTGTATACCCAGTAGTGGGAATGCTAGCTGGTATGCTATTTTTCCTTTCTATTCTTTGCAGGACCCCCAACTGTTTTTTATAGCATTAATACTAATATACGTTTCCACAAACAGTTCCCTTTGTGGAAATTCATACTAGAAGTTGTCTTTTTAAATATTTTAATCTGTCTGTAATGTTCATTCTGGTTGGAGTGAGATAAGATCTGAGTGTGGCTTTGATCTTCATTTTTCTCACGTATAGTAACGGTAACCACATTTTTGCAAATGTTGCATCAGTTTCTTGTGTGCACAAATATCTCTTCAGGTTATTTGGTTTGGTTATTTTTCTTATATATATATATATATATTTTTTTTTTTTTTGCCAGCCGGTAGTGTTACCGGCTTGTACCTTTTCAAAAATAACGCCTTATCCAACTGAATGTTTGCCCAAATGTTTCTTACAGTTTTTAGTATGCTTTTTCATTTTGTTCATTGTTTGTTAGACAGAAACTCCTCAGTTTGACGTGGCCCCACATGTGTATGATTTCTTGGTTAGCTGCGCTGTTGGTTACTAATGAAGAAAAAACTCAATCACTACCAAAGCAGTTCATTGTCCACGATTTTCTTTTCCTTGTATTTTTGTTTTTGCAAATCGTGAGCATATATCCAAGTTGCAATAAATATCCGCACACCGAGGTTGTCTTTATAGGAGCTTTATGGTTACAAGTTTTGTGTATAATCTTTAATCCTTTTCAGTTGATTATTGTGTATTTCATACCATGAGAGTCCTGTACTATTCTTTTGCATATGGATACCTAGTTTTGAAAACCTTCCCCATTGTGTCAGTTTGATAGTGTTTTGAAAAACGTATTCACTCTATATAAATTTCCATTTATTATTAAACGCCCTCATTTTGCTCACTGGTCTGTGTTTCTCTGTGTTTACCAGTAGCATATGGGTTGGTTAACTAGGGATTTTCATTTAATTAGAACTCAGGGAATGTGATACATGCCACATGGTTTGTGTTTCTCAGGGTAACTGTGGAAATTCAGGGTGTTTCACATTTCCATATAAATTTTGGCATTGTTTTCTTTATATATCTTAAAACACCATTTCCCATATATAAATGTATATAATGAGAGGGTACAGGGAAGATTTTGATACATGTGTATTCTGAGTAATGATCAAATTGGGTTATTTAGCATCTCTTCACCTGGTATAGTTATGATATTTTTGTGTGGTAGCAACATTCAGAATATTTTCTTCTAGCTACTTTGAGACATATACATTTGTGTTAAGGCCAGTCACCCTGCTGTGGAATAGAAGACCAGCATTGATTGCTGTCATCTGAGGAAAGTTTTTACCCATTACCGATTCCTTCCCAGACCCTCTCCATTTTCCCAGCAACCTCTAGTAACCCCTATTGAACTTTCTGCTTCTAGGAGGTGAAGATGTTTTCAGTCTGCATGCCTGGGATCGTGTGGAATGGGACTTTCTCTACCAGGCTCATTCGTTGGACCTGATGTTCTCCAGGTTTCTTCATGTGGCTGCAGATGGCAGGATTCCCAGAGCTTAATGGCTGGAACATACTCCATGGTGTATGTGAACAGCAGTTTCTTCATCCCTGCAGCTGCGGGTGGACGGGTAGGTTGGTTCTGTACTTTGGCCACAGTTACAAGTGCTTCAGTACCCATGGAAGGCAGATAGCTCTCTTCAGCCCAGGGATTTCAACTGCTTTAAATGTGGAACCAGTGGTGGGGCTGCCAGCTGACATGGTAGTTGTACCGTGAAGTTTTTCAGGAACCTCTTGCTGTTTCTCAGTGTGTGTATACTAGTTCAGGTCTCCACCAATAGTGTTGAAGAGGTTACCTTTCTGTAAGTCTACACTGGCTGGCGCCTTCCAAAATTTGTGTTTTGTTTTTGGTAGTATTCATAGCGAGTGGAAGGAGACGGAATCTTAGCATGGTTTCCATGGACATTTTTGTGAGTATTAGTGATGTGGAGAAAGTCATTTGAGAAATCCCCACGTTGCTTTCCATGGTGTCTGAACTGGTTTGCATTTGCACCAGCAGCAGAGCAGCGTCCCTGTCCTCTGCCTCGCCTGCATTCGTTCTTGGGGACTGTGTCCTAATCGTCATTCTGGCCAGTGTGAAATACTATCTCGTGGGCCTTTTGCTTTGCCTCTTTCTGATGCTGACTGAGGCAGAGAAGTGTTGTCATGTCTGTTGGTTGCAGTAAGCCTTCTTTTGAGGTGCGTGTTTTCATGCCCCTTGCCCTTTCTTCATTGAGTTTTTGTTTTCCTGGTTTATTTGCTTAACATCTTTAAGGTGGATCCGGGATATTAGCCTTCATCAGATGCACACGTGGGAACATTTTCTCCCATTGTGCGGGCCGTCTGTTCACTCTGTTGGTCATTTCTTCTGTGCAGCAGCTCTTTGTGTATTTGGTGCCACTGGGCAATAATTGTTTTAGTTACACTTGCCTTTGGAGACTGAGACACATCCCCGCTGTGCCAAATCCTCTGTCAGGAAGGGTGTTTCTAGGTTCTCTTGCAGGCTTTTCATAGTTTGAGGTCTTGCATTTACATCTTTCATTCATCTTGAGTTTGTGTCTGTACACCGTGAGACGCGGGGCCCACTGTTTTTCTTCTGCAGCTGGCTAGTCATTTATGCCAGCGCCATCTATTGAAAGGAGGGAGTCCTTTCTCCAAAGCTGATTTTTGTGAATTTTGTTGAAGATCAGATGGTGTTAGAGGTGAGGGTTTCAGTCTGGGTCCTCTAATCTGTTCCACTGCTCTGTGTGGAATGGGGTCCCTAGCTTTTCAATGAAATTTAATATCAAGAAGTGTGACACAACCGAGGTAGTTTGGATTTCTCAGGATTGCTTTGGAAATTCAGTGTGTTTTATGGGCCACATGAATTTTAGCATTGCATATTTACATAGTTTTTAAAAGGTTGGTCATATAGTAAAGGTATACAATGGGGGAAGTTAGAGTGGGGCATTTTGATTAATGCAGACACAGAGGAATGATCAAATCAGGATATTTAGAGCCTCTCTTATCAGAAATAGTTGTGAATTTGTTTGTGGTAGAAACATTTGGAATCTCCCACATTTTGTGAAAAGGGTGTGATGTTGTGTTAACCTCTGGTCACTTGGCTGTGGACCAGTGAGGAGCGATTCATTCCTCTCATCTAAGGGTAACTTTGTGCCTATTTCTGACCTCTGCCCGTGCCCCTTCTTCCCTCCAACCTTTAGTAACTACTATTGTGCTTTGTAGACCTATGCAATAAAGCCTTTTATTTTGGATTCTACATTAGTTGTTCTTTTTCTGCCTGTCTTAGGTCATACACGATGTCCTCCAAGTTCAACAGTGTGGCTCCAAATGATGACATTTCATTCCGGTTTTCTAGCTGAAGACGATTCTATTTGTGCACATACACCAGGTATCCCTTCCTGTGTGGATGGGCAGGTAAGTCTGTTCTTTGTCTTGGCAATTGTGAATAGTGCTGCAGTCCACATAGGATGGCAGATGCCTCTTGTATGGACTGATTTCTTTCGTCCTGAAAGTATACTTAGTAGTAGACTTGTTAGATGAAGTGGTAGTTGTAGGTTAAACTTTTGGAGGAAGCTCCCACTGGTGTCTGTAGTATGAATGCTAATTAACATTCTGACCAAATGAGCTCCTCTGTGGAAATTGACAGCAGCATTTGCATCTCTTTTAATGTATTTGATTGCTTTGATAACACCCGTATGAATTATAGTGAGATCATGTGTGTTGCTTCGATTTACATCTTTCTCGTGATTTGCGATATTATCTAAGTTTTTAAAACTTGTTTTCAACGTTACGTCTTCTTTGCAGAAATGTCTGTTTAGGTTATTTGGTCCCAGTTTGCTTAGTTATTAGTTTCTCTTTTGTGTTTTTGCTAGTAAGTAGCGTTTGTTGCTTAGACATTTTGAAGACAACCTTTCATCATATGTAGGTTTGCCGAAACCTTTCTTGTAAACTTCAGGATAATTTTTTTTTTTTTTTGAGAGGAGTTTCGCTCTTGTTACCCAGGCTGGAGTGCTATGGTGCAATCTTGGCTCACTGCAACCTCCGCCTCCTGGGTTCAGGCAATTCTCCTGCCTCAGCCTCCCGAGTAGCTGGGATTACAGGCACGCGCCACCATGCCCAGCTAATTTTTTGTATTTTTAGTAGAGACGGGGTTTCACCATGTTGACCAGGATGGTCTCGATCTCTTGAGCTTGTGATCCACCCGCCTCAGCCTCCCAAAGTGTTGGGATTACAGGCTTGAGCCGCCACGCCTGGCGGATTTTTTAGAAATCTGCTTGGGCACAAACTCTAACGTATGATGTAGTCCCACGTGTGTCTGTTTTCTTGTTGTCCTTTGATGTAGGTGACTGATGAGGAAAAACAGAATCATGACCAAACTATCCCATCATCTATGAGATTTTCCCCCCGTATTTTTTATTTTGTTTTGGCACACTGTGAGCACAGATCCACATTGACCTAAACATACCCACACCATGTGTCTTCTCATTGGAAGAGTTTGATGCTTTTGACTTTTGTTGATCAGTCTCTAATTCATTTTGAGTTAATCCTTGGTCTTTTTACACAGTTGGGGTCCTATTCTACTTACGTAGGGATATCCAGTTTTCAAATCCATTTACTAAACAGATTCCCTGCTCTTCATTGTGTCTGTCGGTGTTCTTTTACAAAATGTGTACACCACCTAGGAATTTGGGTTTGTGATCGAGCTCCCTCATTCTGTCTGTTGGGTTTCTTGATTAGTGCCAGTCATCTAGTGTTTAGATAACTGGCTTCTCAATATAATTTCAAATGGAGGACAGTGATGCATTCCATGTACTTTGTGTTTTCAGGGTTGCTTTGAAATTCAGGGTGTTTCATGGTTCCATGTAAATTTTAGTGTCATTGGTATTCTTTTTTTTTTTTATAAAGCGATTACGCTAGAGCATATGTATATAACTATAAGATACAGGGGCCATTTTGATATGGGTGCACCTAGCATATTGATCGAATCACAATATTTAGCATCTGTGAAGTCCTCTAGGTATTATTTGTCTGTGGAGATGATACTCATAATCCTTTCCAGCTCTTTGGAAAATTCACTACAATATTAACCTGGTTCACCCTGCTATAGAAGAGAAGGGCAGGACTGATCTGTTTTCTAAGTGTAACTTTGTACCCAGGACCAATCCCTGCCTAGGCGCCCCTTCCCCACAGCCTCTGGTAACCACTATTGAACTTTGTGCTTCTGTGAGGTCAAGTTGTTTCAGATTCCACGTGCATGAGATCATGCAGTATATGCCTTTCTCTGCCTGGCTTATTTCATTTAACATAATGTTCCTCAGGTTTTTCCACGTGGCCGCAAGTGACGAGATTTCACCCATTTCTACGATTAAAGAATATTCTGCTCTGGATGTATATTGCAGTTTCTTCATCCCTTCACAATGGAAGAACAGGTAGGTGTATTTCCTATCTTGGCTATCGTGAGTACTGCAGTACGGAGGGTAAGGCAGGTATCTCTTCCACGTAGGAATGGAATGATGGCTGGATGAAATGGGCATTTACTTCGTTGGAGGCACTTCCAGCTGTTTTTCATAGTGTGTGTAGACACTGACATTCCCACCAATATGAGAATGAGTGTATGAGAAGAGTTTCCCCTTCTGAAAGTCTGTACTGTTGTTTCCTTTTAAAAGTTTTATTTCTGTTTTAGGTAACATTCATTCGATGTGGATGGAAGCGGCATCTCAGTGCAGGTTTCCTTGACATTCTTGTGAGGATTAGCGCTTTTGAGAGACTTTTCTTTTACCTGTGAGTCAGTTTCCCATCTGCTTCGCAGACACGTCTGTTCAGGTCCTTTGCCCAGACTTAGCTTGGGTGTTTGTTTTTGTTTCCCCCCACATGGTAGTGTTAGTGTCTTTCACAGATTTTATAACGACCCCTTTGAAAGACAGGATTTTCCATAGTTTTCTTTCAGTCTGTGAGGCACCTTCTCTTCTGTTCATTGTTTTCTTTTCACAGCATGAGATCTGATGTTTTCCGTAGTTCCACCTGTTTACATATTAGTGGTGCCTTCCGTTTGCAGTTAAAAACAGTGAAAAAGATTGCCAATCCATGGCATTGTCTATGTTTTTTTCCTTCTAATTTTCTTTTTCTTTTTATATTTCACGTTTTGCAACTTGTGTGCATAGATTAGTCCTCTAAACTATGTGCTTACCTGTTGTTTCCTGAGGGAAGGAAATGGTTTCAAGATTGAGTTTAGGCCTTTCATGTAATTTACATCGATTTTTGTCCTATTTCAGTGTTTTTCATGTGGTTATCCAGTTTGCTCAAAATCATTTATTCTTTTCCCATTGTGTCTATTTGTGTTGTGTTTAAAAATGTGTTCAGTGTACATTCACTTGGGTGGCATGTGGGACTCCCTCATTCTGTCCGTTGGGTAGCCTTTCTGTCTTTATGCCAGTGGCAGGTTGTTTGGGTAAATAGAGGTTTTCGTTATTTTATCATTATGCTCACTCAGTGCCTTTAGTTTCTTGCATATGTTAGAAAACAGTTCTTTTTGGATACATGATTTTCTATAATTTTATCCCAATCTGTAGGGTGCCTTTTCTTTGGGTTCACCGTTTTCTCCTTGTTTATAAATTTTAAAGTTGTCCTTTGTCTAACCTGTTTAAATTTGCTTTTGTTAGCAGGGATGTTTGTTTCCCGTTGGGAAGTAAAGCGAGCTAGATGGCGAAAATGTTGTATTATTTATGGGTATATTCTTCCTAATTTTTCTTTTCTGCAGCTGGTGTACACAGATTCAAGTTTTCCCAAAATAGACACTCACCCTATGTATTTTCCTGAGAGCTTGTTAAGTTTCAGGATTAAACTTAGGTGCTGAGTTGGTTTTGTGTTGATGTTTGTGTTCTTGTGCAACGTAAGGGTCTCACTTCAGTCCTCTGCACGTGAATACCCAGGTTTCTCAACCTGGGTGCCTTTGGTTTGTTTCTGAAAAATGTGTTTATATCATTTTGGTCTGATTGTCTGGCTCCTTCATTTGGTCCATTTGGTGATCTTTCTGTGTTTATGTCACTAATGGATGGAAAGGGTCAGGGTAAGTTTTGTTTTCTTTTTTTCTTTTTCTGTAGCTTTACACCTTAATTTGGTAAAAGAGTACCTACATTTACTTTGATTAACAATATTGTGCACACAGTACTAGTCGGGTGGTTCATCAGTTGATCATCTATCTCAATTGGGGTAAATGTTAGTGATATGATAGAAATAACAAAGACATTTATCAAAAGAGGGCTCTCATGCACAAATAAGTTCCAGTATCAAAAATTCAGTAGGCTGGGCACAGTGACTCACACCTATAATCCCAGCACTTTGGGAGGCCGAGGTAGGCAAATCACCTGAAGTTAGGAGTTTGAGACCAGCCTGGTCAACATGGTGAAACCCCATTTCTACTAAAAATTCAAATATGAGCCGGGCGTGGTGGCACACACCTGTAATCCCAGCTATTCAAGAGCTGAGGCTGGAGGATAGCTTTAACCCAGGAGGCGGAGGTTGCAATGAGCCGAGATTGTGCCATTGCACTCCAGCCTGGGGTACAGAGTGAGACCCCATCTCAAAAAAAAAAATAATGGTTCAGTAAACAAATGTTACTTAAACTATATAAGAGTTATAAAATAGTTAAAAAAAATTCTCCCCCTCCCCCAAATTTTGGAAGGACATGTAAGAGTGATATAAGATCATTAACTAGATTGAGACACATAGAATACTACAGACAAATAGGACATAGGGATATAAAAGTAAAAGGTGTATCAGTGATAGAATTGGTAAGAAAAAAAAAATAGTAATACTTGACTTACTAAGAGATTTGTCTAGGGTTTGGCTGTTTTTCAAATATGGGAAAATCCCAAAAGCCAGGTGCAGTGGTGCACAACCGTAGTCCCAAATACTCCAGAAGTTGAGGCAGGAAGATTCCTTGAGCCCAGGAATTCAAGGCTGTAGTGTGAAACATGGTGCCAGTGAGTCGCCACTCTCTCACTTCAGCCTGGGCAACATAGCATGACCTTGTCTCTCAGAAAGATTACAGCAATTATAAAACATTTGTTTCAGCGGAAATGTAACTTTTTTGTGTCTCATTATTTAAAAAATTCAGTCAGTGCACTTTAACTTATAATTTTGATGGTGTTTTTATGATCTTAACACCCAGAAAAGTAATACAGGCCCATGCTGAATGAGGCCTCAGCCTTCTATCTTTACCTGGGTTCATGTCCCAGCATATGATAGAAGAGCAAATCTAATGCTTTTAAGAAAGCGTTGCAGCAGCTAAAAGAGAACAAATTAAATGGATGTTCTAACATAAATTACAAGCTAGCTAGCTGATTAAAAACATCAATATATTGCTTTGTGTTGTTTCTCTGAGTATACCATATCTGTGTGCCCATGAAACATTGGTATGCCTCCATTGAGACTTGTTTTTTCTCCTTATTTATGTAAAAGATAACACACAATTTAGTGGCATCAAGTAAAGTGACAGAACATACGATCTTTTGGTTTTCCATTTTTGAGTTACTTCACTTAGAAGAATGGCCTCCAGCTCCCTCCAAGTTGCCGCAAAAGTCATGATTTCATCCCTTTTGATGTCTGAGGAGTAGCCCATGGTGTGTGTGCACCACAGTTCCTGTATGCACTCATCAGTTGATGGGCACTTAGGTTGGTTCCATATCTTTGCAGTTGCAGATTGTGCTCTAAACATGCATTTGTATGTGTCTTTGTGTCTTTTTTCATGTGACTACTTCTTTTCCTTTGGGTAGATACCCAGTAGTGGGATTGCTGGATGAAATGGTAGTTCTGCTTTTACTTCTTTAAGGACTCTCATGCTGTTTTCCATACTGGTTGTGCTAATTTACATTCCCACCAGTCGTGTAAAAGTGTTCCCTCTTCACATTCAAGCTGAGTTGGTTTTCAGCTTTTTAATGGTGGCAGTTCTTGCAGGAGTAAGGTTGTATCTCATTGCGGTTTTCATTTGCATTTCCTTGATTAGTGATGTTAGTGCCCTTTAAATAGAGACTTCAGTAGTTTCCTTGTTTCATTCTCCATATGAGACCACAAGACAGCTAAATTTCTATTTATTTTAATTTTGACATGAAGGCTCCCTCTTGTCCAGGCTGGAGTGCAGTGGCACGATCTTTGCTCACTGCAACCTCTGCCTTCTGAGTTCAAGCAGTTCTCCCGTCTCAGCCTCCCGAGTAGTTGGGACTACAGGTGCCTGCCACCATGCCCAGCTAATTGTTCTATTTTTAGTAGAGACAGGTTTTCACCATATTGGTCAGGCTGGTCTCCAACTCCTGATCTCAGGTGATTCACCCACCTCAGCCTCCCAAGGTGCTGGGAATACAGGCACGAGCGACTGCTCCCAGCCGAGGCAACAAGACATCTATCGATGAACCCTCACCAGACACCAAATTTTTTTGGTGAGTTGATGTGAAATTCCCAGCCTCCAGAACTCTAATAATGTCTATTTATAACTCACCCAGTTTATGACATTTAGTTACAGCAGCCTGAATGGGCTAAAACGGTATGTGTGTAATTACCTTCTTAGCATTGCGTTTGCTCGAATCTGTAAGTTTTTGGTATGTTATGTTTTTTATTTCTTTTATCTCAAGATAATTTCTGACTTCCCTTGTGATTTCTTTTTTGATACATTGGCTAGTTAAGAGTATGTTGTTTAGTTTTTCTTTTCTTTTTTTCTATTGAGACAGGATCTCGCTCTGTCACCCAGGCTGGATGGCAGTGGTGCAATCTCTGCTCACTGCAGCCTCCCTCTGACTTCCAGGTTCAAGTGACTTTCATGCTTTAGCCTCCCAAGTAGCTGTGATTACAGGTGCCCGCCAGCATGCCCAGCTAATTTTTATATTTTTATTACAAACAGGGTTTCACCAGGTTGGCCAGACTGGTCCCGGACTCTCGACCTCAGGTGATCCACCCACCTTGGCTTCCCAAAGTGCTGGGAGTACAGGTGTGAGTTACCACATCTAATCTAATTTTTCAAACAATGGAAACATTTGTGATTTTTTTAAAAGTTCTCCTGTTAATTTAATGTGACTAGATATGATGCTTTGTATACTTTCTGTCTTTAAAGTTGATTAATCCTTCTCTTCTGGGCTAATATATTGTCCATTTTTGAGAATGTTCCATGTGCACTTGAGAAAAATGTGTGTTCTTCTGCTATTGGGTGCAGTGTCCTGTGTATGTCTGCTAGGTCCAATCGGTTGATGGTGTTGTTTCATTTATTTTCTTAATGATCATCAGTCTAGTTTTCTACTCATTGTTAAAAGTGGCATAAGAGGGCTGGGTGTGTTGGCTCATGCCTGTAATCCTAGCACTTTGGGAGGCCAAGGTGGGCAGATCACCTGAGGTCGGGAGGTCGAGACCAGCCTGGCCAACAAGGCGAAACCCTATCTCTAGTAAAAATAAAAAAAACAGCCAGGCATGGTGGCAGGCACCTGTAATCCCAGCTACTTGGGAGGCTGAGGCAGGAGAATCACTTGAACCTGGGAGGCAGAGGTTGCAGTGAGCCAAGATCACACCATTACACTCCAGCCTGGGCAACAGAGTGAGACTGTCTCAAAAAAAAAAAAAGTGGAATATTAAGGTCTCCAACTCTTTGTAGAACTGTGTTTCTTTTTTAAATTTTGCCAATTTCCTTGATGCATTTTAGGGCTGGGAAGTTTATGACATATGTTTATGATTATCATGTTTTCTTGGTGAATTGGCCCTTCTATTAATTTAATATCCTTATCTTTTGCAATTTTTTTGACATAAAGTTTATTTTGTCTGATATTAGTATAACAACCCAAGCTCTCTCTTGGTTACTATTTGTGGGGAATATATTTTCCATCCTTTCACTTTCAGTATTTAAATTATTTGTGGAGAAGGAGTCTCTTTATGTTTCCCAGGCTGTTCTTGAACTCCTGGGCTGAAGTGATCTTCTTGCTGTGGCCTCCCAAAGTGTTGGGATTACAGGTGTGAGCCACTGCAGTTAGTCCAATTCAATGATTTTTAGTATATTTAGTATATTTACACAATTATGTAACAATCACCAAAATCTAGCTTAAGGACATTTCATCATCCCAGAAAGAAACTCGTGCTTATCAGAGTCACTTTTCGGTCTCATTCCCAGCCCTAGTCAACCAGTAAGCTGCTTTTCATCCCTGTATTAGGCTGTTCTGGACCTTTCATATAAACGAAATCATGCGACATGTGTTCTTTTGCATCTGGCTTCTTTCCCGAAGCCTTGCGTTGCTGAGGTTGATCACTGTGGTAGCATGCCTCAGAACTCATTTTTGATTGCTGAATAGTATTCCTTTGTACTCCCCACATTTGAATTCCTTCGTCAGTTGATGGGCATTTGGCTTGTCTCCACTTTTTGATTCTTGTGAGTGGTGTTGTGAACATTCACCCACAAGTCTTTGCGTGAACATACATTTTCATTGTTCCTGGGTTAGATACCTAGAAGTAAAGTTACTGACTTTAAGGAAATTTGACTTTATTTTATTTTATTATTATTTTTGTCCTGAGCCCCTTGCAGTTCTGCTAGAGAAGGCAATTTTATTTTTAACATTTTGAGAAACTGTCATACTATCTTCCAAAAAAGTGGCTGTACCATCTTACATTCCCACTGGCAGTGTATGAGGGCTCTGGTCTCCACGTCCTCTCCAGCACTTGGTGTTACGCGTCTGCTTGGTTGTAGTTATTCTAGTGGGTGGAAAGAGACATTGTGTTTTGGATTAATTTGCATTTTCCTAGTGACTGACGATGTTGAACGCTTTATAATGTGCTTATTGGACATTAAAATATTATCTTTGGAGAAATGTTTCTTCATGTTCTTTTCCCATTTTTAAGTTGGATGTCTTTTAATATTGAGTTGTAAGAGTTCTTCTGGATATATCGGTTATTAGACATAAGATTTATAAATCTTTTCTCCCATTCTGCGGCTGTCTTCCCCTTTCTTGATTGTATCTTTTGCTGTGCCAAAGGTTTAAATTCAGCTGATGCTCAATTTTTTATTTTCTTGCTTTTTCCCTTTCCTCCTTTTCCAGGTCTCACTAGGTGGCCCTGACTGATCTTCAACTGTGCTTTTGATGTTGTTTCTAAGACATCAGTGCCTGACACAAGATCGCAAGAATTTACTCTTACGTTTTCTAAGAGTTTCATTGTTTTCAGTTTTACATTTAGGTCTGTGATCCCTTTTCAGTTAATTTTTGTGTATGGTGTTAGGCAGAGACCCAAATTAATTTATTTGTACATGAATATCCAGTTGCCTCACCACCGTTTGTTGAAAAGTCTATTTGTGGTTGGAAACTGGTTCATGACTGTCATCCCAGCACTTTGGGAGGCCAAGGCTGGAGTATTGCTTGAGTCCAGGAGTTTAAGGCTACCATCTGCCTAATTCTCCCCATAATTTCTCCAACATCTGCCTAAAAATTGTTGCATTTGCGATGACATGGATAAAACTGGACGACATGATGGTAAGTGAAATAAGCAGAGCACCGAAAGACAAACCCTGCATGATGTTATTCATGTGTGGATCCTTAAAAAGTTGAACTCTGCTTGGGAACTGATTCATTAAAGCAAATGGAAAGAAAGAAAGGAAAAGAAAAAGGAAAAAAAAAAATGTTGAACTCATAGAAGCAGAGAGTAGAATGGTGGTTACCCCAGGCTGGGTGTGGGGGAAGAATTAGGCAGATGTTGGAGAAATTCTGGGGAGAATTAGGCAGATGGTAGCCTTAAACTCCTGGACTCAAGCAATACTCCAGCCTTGGCCTCCCACCACTGTTTCCAACCATGAATAGACTTCTCAACAAATGGTGGTGAGGCAACTGGATATTCATGTACAAATAAATTAATTTGGGTCCCTGCCTAACACCATATACAAAAATTAACTGAAAAGGGATCACAGATCTAAATGTAAAACTGAAAACAATGAAACTCTTAGAAAACGTAAGAGTAAATTCTTGTGATCTTGTGTAAGGCACTGATGTCTTAGAAACAACATCAACAGCACAGTTGAAGATCAGTCAGGGCCACCTAGTGAGACCTGGAAAAGGAGGAAAGGGAAAAAGCAAGAAAATAAAAAATTGAGCATCAGCTGAATTTAAACCTTTGGCACAGCAAAAGATACAATCAAGAAAGGGGAAGACAGCCGCAGAATGGGAGAAAAGATTTATAAATCATATGTCTAATTAATAACCAATATATCCAGAAGAACTCTTACAACTCAGTATTAAAAGACATCCAACTTAAAAATGGGAAAAGAACATGAAGAAACATTTCTCCAAAGATAATATTTTAATGTCCAATGAGCATAGTATAAAGCATTCAACATCGTCAGTCTCTAGGAAAATGCAAATTAATCCAAAATGCGATGTCTCTTTCCACCCACTAGAATAACTACAACCAAGCAGACGCGTGACACCAAGTGCTGGAGAGGACGTGGAGACCAGAGCCCTCATACACTGCCAGTGGGAATGTAAGATGGTACAGCCACTTTTTTGGAAGATAGTATGACAGTTTCTCAAAATGTTAAAAATAAAATTGCCTTCTCTAGCAGAACTGCAAGGGGCTCAGGACAAAAATAATAATAAAATAAAATAAAGTCAAATTTCCTTAAAGTCAGTAACTTTACTTCTAGGTATCTAACCAGGAACAATGAAAATGTATGTTCACGCAAAGACTTGTGGGTGAATGTTCACAACACCACTCACAAGAACCAAAAAGTGGAGACAAGCCAAATGCCCATCAACTGACGAAGGAATTCAAATGTGGGGAGTACAAAGGAATACTATTCAGCAATCAAAAATGAGTTCTGAGGCATGCTACCACAGTGATCAACCTCAGCAACGCAAGGCTTCGGGAAAGAAGCCAGATGCAAAAGAACACATGTCGCATGATTTCGTTTATATGAAAGGTCCAGAACAGCCTAATACAGGGATGGAAAGCAGCTTACTGGTTGACTAGGGCTGGGAATGAGACCGAAAAGTGACTCTGATAAGCACGAGTTTCTTTCTGGGATGATGAAATGTCCTTAAGCTAGATTTTGGTGATTGTTACATAATTCTGTAAATATACTAAATATACTAAAAATCATTGAATTGGACTAACCGCAGTGGCTCACACCTGTAATCCCAACACTTTGGGAGGCCACAGCAAGAAGATTACTTGGACCCAGGAGCTCAAGAACAGCCTGGGAAACATCTCTGTGAATAATTTCAATGCTTTAACAGGTGTAGTGGTACAAGCCTGTAGTCTCAGGTACTCAGGAAGCTGAGGCAGGAGCATCACCTGATCCCAAGAGGTTGAGGCTGCCGTGAGCCATGATGGCACCACTGCATTCCAGCCTTGGTATCAGAGTGATAACCCTGTCTCTCTTTCTCTCTCTCTCTCTCTCTCACACACGCACAATCATTGTACACTTAAAATGGGTAGATTTTAGTTTATAAATTACACCTCTATAAAGCTGTTAATTTTTAAATTATTTTTAATTTAATTTTTTTTTTTTTGAGACAGTTTTGCTGTTTTTACCTAGGCTGGAGTGCAATGACGCAATCTCAGCTCACCACAACCTCCACCTCTCAGGTTCAAGTGATTTTCCTGCCTCAGCCTCCCAAGTAGCTGGGATTCCAGGCTCCCGCTATGATGCCTGGCTAATTTTTTGTATTTTTAGTACAGATGGGGTTTCATTATGTTGTTTAGGCTGGTCTGAAAGTCGTGACCTCAGGTGATCCACCCATCTCGGCCTCCCAAAGTGCTAGGATTACAGACACGAGCCAGGCAGTTTTTTAAGTTCTAAAATTATACTATTTACCCCTAGCACCAAGATTGTAGTCTCAAAATACCATTGCCCAATGAAAGGAAACAAGGCTTCCTGGACAAAATGCTGATTCCAGGTCTAGGCCAGAAATGTGTAAGGAGCCTGGAACATATTATCACTCTGGATAGCAAAGAATCTATAAAGATTATTAGGATGATTTCAACATGTGTAAAGGGCCCATCTGAAGGGCCTCCTTCTAACCAAAGATAGGACATTTTGTACATTAGTAAGGATAATAGTTGCAGTGAATTGAGATATATCAAATACGTTTGAATATCTGCATTCATAATGATCCTTTTGAAAAAATAAAAGTGGGCTGGCACAGCTCCTCATGCCTGTAATTTCAACACTCTAGGAGGCTGAGTTACAAGGATCATTTCATCCAGGAGTTCAAGACCAGCCTGTGCAACACAGGGGGACTTTGTCTCAACAAAAGATTTTTTAAATTACTCAGGTTTGAGGGCCTGTGCCTTTGGTCTCAGCTACTCAGGAAGCTGAGATGGGAGGGTCACCTGAGCTGAGAAGTTTGAGGCTATAGTGGCATGACTGCTTGTCTGCATACCAACCTGGGCAACAAAGCTAGACCCTCCTTAAGTAAATTAATTAATAGAAGTGGTGACCATTGAAGGATATAAATGAAATAGCCCATGATTTTGAAAAATGGTCAACAGAAGAAATGAAGCCATGAACTGGTGTTTTCTATATAAGTTGTACAAGTGAGTAACAGTTCATAAGAAGCAGCATCTCTTTTTTATATTTACTTCATTTTTTTCTTAATGCAAGGCTCTGCTTGGGGTAGCAGTGTCTCTTTCTTCATGCACGGCTTTTCTTAGGGTAGCAGTATCTCTTCAAAGTGTGGCAGCTCATAAACAAAGAAGGAATGATACAACAATGCCTTCATTGTTCAATCCGTAACTGATCAATGGCCATTAACACCACCAATTAAAAAAAAAAAAAGATCTCCAGAGAGTGCACACCTCCTCCCAGAAGAAACTAGCACAGCCTTTTTGCCCTGAATCAAGTCCAGCCTGAATCTCACCAAGTCTTGAGATTAAACTACTAATTTATCAAAACTAGAACAAAGTGAAGAGCAAGTTAACCAACATCACAAGATACAATTAGCAAAATTCACAGTATGAGAAACAGCATGAGAATACACTTAGCATAATTCAAAGTGTGGGGAAATGGCCTGATTTATTCAATAAATGGACTGCAAGGGACAGCACAGAGATGAAAGTGGGAAGCTGTCAGGATCAAAAAAAAACCCCAAGAGGTGAATCACACAATCCCAAAGAGAGACTTTATTTGGATCCTGATTCAAACAATAAATACATGAAATGACTGAAAATTTGGAGCTAGAAGGAGAGTTGACAGTGATAAAGAGCAATGGTGTGAGATGGTTGGTTGATGATGGTATTGGGATTATATTTTTTAATGAGTTCTTGTCTCCAGGCATGGCGGTTCACACCTATAATCTCAGTAGTGTGGGAGGTCAAGGCGGGAAGATCCTTTGAATCCAGGAATTGTAGACCAGCCCAGGCAACATAGCAAGACCCTGTCTCTACTAAAATACAATAAAAAGATGAGCTGGGCATGGTGTGAGTCTGTAGTTGCAGCTACTCAGGAAGTTGAGGCAGGAGAGGCCACAGTGAACCAAGATCATGCCACTGAACTCCAGCCTGGGTGACAGAGACCTCGTGTTGAAAGAACAAACAAGAATCGTATCTTTTGGGGTCCAAAGTGGCTCCCGCCGGAGGTCATGGCGCTCTCGAAGGGGAGGTCATCAGTTCAAGGTTAACCTGAGCAACCTCATAAGTTCAAACTGATTGGCAAAAAAAAAAAAGAATCGTATCTTTTACAGACATCCACCAAGACGGTCAGGGAGGAAATTCTATGATGTATGGGATTTTTTATAAAATCACGAGAGGAAGAGGAGAAGCATGTAGGAGTATACATGTAACTCGATCGACCGTCAGATAAATACCTGAATCTGCTGCTGAGTAGGTGGAAGCTCACTACACTAGCCTCTTGTTCCAAAAAGCTCTAGAATAGAAAGTTTGTCTAAAAATCCACTTCAGGGATTTGTAACAAGCATTGAATAAGATCGTGTATACAGAGTGTTTTCTCACCACGCCTTGCAGGTAGTCAGCACATAAACATGGTTTTTAGTTTTGTAAAAATCCACTTCAGGGATTTGTAACAAGCATTGAATAAGATCATGTATACAGAGTGTTTTCTCACCACGCCTTGCAGGTAGTCAGCACATAAACATGGTTTTTAGTTTTGTATAGTCCCCGTCCATGAATCACACCCAGAAAAGGTATGTTGTTCACACCAAGAGCTCTGGCCCGCGGACCTTTGTCCACTTGGTGGTAATTCATTGGACTCTGAGGTTTAGAATGAGGAAATACCAGCCTTCAAAGCCCCAGGCCTGCTATGAAATAGCAAAGCCAATGGTCCCAGATGCCTTCGTAGCACACCTAGTAAGTAGGATCACTTTTCATCTCACCTTGTGGGCACACTTGAGTCCATGCACTCATTTTTCATTCATTTCTTATATGCCGTGTATTGGGTACTCGGGATCCATAATACAGTGGACCCACAATTGACTGGAAGCATTGCTTTCAAAGCATCATTTCAGGATGAGTATTTCGTGTCAAGTGGATTCAAGGAACAGTGTGAAGGATCCATGGCCTCAGTCACCATGAAGAGCCTCCCAAGAGCCAACCTTCCTGGGCACATGTAGTGAGTGGAGACATGGAACTCACCCTTACAAGGCCTAGAACCTGACAGATCATACAACACAGAAGCCCAGATAACTAAGAAGGGGACGCTGAAGGTGAGAGGTGGGCCCCAAAGGATTCTGTGAAAATGCTTTGTGTTTGTGGATTTCTCACGCAGAATGAAACCTTTGTTTTTATTCACAGGTTAGACACACTCTCCTATATAGAATCTATGAAGGGACATTGCTGAATTTTTTGAGGCCTATAGTGAAAAATGGATTATCTCAGGCAGCTCAGGATGAATAATGCAGTCACCAAGAGGGGCAGGGTGGCCACAGGTGGCCAGCAGCAGGAATGGGCATTGTGAGCCATTGGATGGGGTTGTGAGAAGTGGCATTGTGAGTCACTGGCCTGACTTTGTTGTTTCCTGGCAATCAGGTGACATAGGAGGCTTTGTGGGGGACAGGCATCAGCCAGGACCAGCAGCCTTCAGTCGGAAGCTGGTAGTGGGAGGAGGAGGAGCTCCGACTGCTCTCACGGAAGTGTTTGTTCCCTTGGCGCTTGCTCTGTTGCTTTGTTTTTTCCTTTGTTTTATTTTATTTTGTCTGTTGCTTTTTTTTTTTTTTTTTGCGTGTTGCTTTGTTTTGTTTTCTTCGTTTTTTTTGTTTGTTTTTTTATTTTATTTTATTTTGTGTTGCTTTGTTGTTACAGTCCCCTTGTGGATCACCAATGGGGAATTGTCTATGCCCCAGCGCTGGCCCCAGTTGTGCCTGCTGTGAGCCTCGTGGCCAGTCTGTGGCATCTACCACTCCAGAGCCTGCCGTGTTACATCCTGGAGTGGTGGAGGTCCAGGACGCGCGGCCCGGAAAATCAAAGAGGCGCAAAGGTAAAGAAGCCATGGGTGCCATTTGCTCTCTGGCACATCTCTGGCCACCACGTCCCCACCTCCTTCCCATCCCGTCACCCCAGAGACATCCTCAGCTTCCAGCTCCCTCCTGCCTATAGCCAGCTTTCCCGGGGCTGGGCATGGGGGACAAAGGCTAGTCCTGCCTCTTGTCTTCATGTTGTTGAGCCTTCTTGCTTGAGGCCTTTTTGGTCTAGTCTCTCCCTTTCCCTGGTGAAAATTCAGATACTCCAGTTTTGGAGTCTCCATCCCATTCTCTAGCCTTGGCTGTCCAGCTACTATGGCATCTCAGTGAAGGAGCCAGTTAAAGGCCCAATGATTTCTTTTCTCCTATTCGATAGAGAAGCTAATAATTGGGATAATTCAGACTCAAATATTTGGAGACTTGTTGAAATTTGAAATAGAGTTTGCCATGGAAGAGATTATATGGTGTTCTTAATAGATGATTTGAAGTCACCTTGACAGAAGCAGCTTTGTCTTCCAATTGTAATTTGAAAACCAAAGGAAAAATTGAGGGACATGCTTAAAATGACTGCAAAAGGTATGAAATGTTACTGCCCGAGCTGTAAAAAAGCTGTTTTTGTTGTGGTTTTACCCAAAAGTGTAGCCGTGGAGCTCTGATTACTTCAACATTCCCACTTTGACATGAACGTCTCTTCAGCCCTACTCCAGTAACGTCACGGGCTTAGTTTACCTCCTTGTTCTGAAAGACAGGTAGAGCTAGCTCATGGTTACAGGTTCCAAAAGAGATGAAATGACTTTAGACTTGAATTTGGAAGGTAAAGACTTGGAGTTAGAAGGCCAGACCCTGCCTGTGGAAAAGAGTTTGTTTTCATGGCTCCCCTTCCTACAGGATGGAAAAGGGGAGGGGAGAGGAAACATTTCATGTTTTTGCTATGGTCAAATTGAAGACAAAAACTAACACTTGTAAGACAGGAGAGGAGCATTTAGGTACAAAATCAGTCAAACATTTGCGTATCACTACGTTCGTTGAGCAAATGGAAGCTACCAGACTCAGAAAACCAGAGATGCTAATGGAACTGACATTAGTAACCAGGGTTTACTGAGTTCAGTGCTCAGGGTGACTTTTAATAACACCCACCCTCCCCTCCACACACACACTTTTCTCAGGACTGGAAAGCTCAGGCAGCCCAGGATGAATAATGCAGTCACACAGAGGGGAAGAAGCAGGGATCGGCATTGTGAGCAACTGGGTGGGGCTGTGGGGCAGGGCATTGTGAGCACCTGGGTGGGGCTGTGGGGTGGGGCATTGTGAGCCACTGTGTAGAGCAGGTACTTACTCTAAACCCTGCCTATAGGTAAAAAGATTTTAATGTAAAAAGACCTTCAATTGTCCCACACCTTCCTTCTGAACCATCCCTTCCCTATGGTATACACGCTCCACTGTGAGGGGTAATGGCACAGGGATCCACCATCTTGTCTTGCCACCACTCAAGACACAGATATGGCTTCTGTTTATCAGTCCTTATTAAATGTTTCTTTCTAAGAAAAAAAAAATAAGCTGGTACTTCTACATAAAGGAGAAGTATGGAGCTGTAAAAAAGAGTAAGATGTCTTTTTATTGCTATGGAGTGATTCCCAAGATAGGGTACGCAGAAAAGCAAAGAGAACATGCAGTAATATACACGAAAGAAAGCAGGCAAAATCATGTGTATTTCATTATTTAAAAATAAAAGCCAATGTTGGGGAAGTCTTGATGATGACCTGTGACAGTTTCCTTCTAACTTCACTGGGCAGCCAAAGTGCATATTTTCTCAAGATTTCATTTTGCTATGGGATCTGCAGAGGACGCTAACTGCACTTTTCGCCTTTGAGTTAGAGAAAACTTCACTTTGTGATTCATTGTGCATTACGTGGTATACAGACTGCTCTTTCATTTTATTCTATCCTCTCAATATTTCGAGTCAGGTGTAAAATGGGAATTATACTGTGTTACATATGAGGAGGCTGGTTCTAAGAAGAAGACTCAGTACATCAAGAGTGTAAATTCTAGATTTATGGCATATAAAACTAGAATTTACAAAAAGGCGGGCATATGACCTGCTTTAAATAGTAGCCTTTATAAAAAAAAAAAACAAAACACAACTTTTTTTTCTTAGCTTACTAAAGCAATTAAGCCTCAGGATGAAAACAGCAATATTAGATAATGAGAAATAAAATGGGGTTACTTGTGACACAGTAATGCTTTTTATTGTGAAAAGACAGGGTCTTGCTTTGTCACCCAGGCAGTGGCGTGATTATAGCTCACTGCAGCCTCAATCTTCTAGGCTCAAACGATCTTCCCACCACAGCCTTCCATATAGCTAGGGATACAAGGGCTCACCGCCACATCTGGTAATTTGTAGATTTTTTTGTAGAGACGAGGTCTCACTGTGTTGCCCAGGTTGGTCTCAAACGTCTGACCTCAAGCAGTTCTTCTGCCTTAACCTCCAAAACTGTCAGGATTACAGCCATGGGCCAGCACACCTACCCCGGAAATGTTCCTAAAAGTCTGAAACAATAAGTTAAATGCTATTAAGAAATATGTAAAAAGATAAACATATACTATGGCATATGAAATGTCACCGTTCAGTCATGGTCACAACAGTGATTAAAATATCCAACAGTTGAGGCAAGTCTGAGAACAGAGAGGGACGTACAGGATTGGTTTGGAAGCTAGAATTAGGATTGTCAGAGCTGGGAAAGCAGAAACAAGGCAAGAGTGTGCGCAGGAGTGGGGCACACAGCCGCTCCGTGGTATGCCGTGTGTCCTCTTTTACGGCAGGCCAGCTCCAGCCCAGCAGATGAGAATCACCTGATGGGTGGAAAGAGTGGATTCAGGTAAAATCTCAGACTGTGCATCATAACGGAGAGACTTAAAATATTTGCCTTATGGGTCATAAAACTACTAAAAGTGACAACATAGGGATAATAGAGTAGGTCAGTAAATGCGATAAGCCACCTGCCACATCTCCATAGCCTCAACCATCCCACAGAAACACTGGGGCAGCAGGATTTCACAGAGCTTGTGAGAAGAGCTCTCGGTCCAGGGTCCAGGGCATGATCTAGAGGACTCAGGTGTTCCGGGATCTCTCTCCCCGGGGAACCAACCACATGATTACCTCAGACCTATCTCTCCTCACTGTGGTGACTGGGCAAGTCACTCAAAATGTCTGAATTTGAATTCACTGAATTTGAAAATAGGGGTTGTAGCCCCTTCCCTGCCTGTCCTTTGGGGATCAGGGAAATCACAGATCTCTGTCATGAGCTGGAAATCATGTGGCCATGGAAACTGTGAAGTCACTTTCCATCCTAATCCTGCGCAGACATGCAAGCTCCCTCTCTGTAGTCAACCACTACCAAGTGTCTGGATTATTCTTCCCGACATTGATTGAACATTTTAGGGCATTTACAAAAACATGAGTCTTTTTAAGTCTTTATCTGCATTTCATCCTTTTAGACACTATAGAGATTAGTAGGTCTATAGCCTAGATCTAATAATGTTTCCACATCTGAGAATAGGGAAGAGAGGCACAGATGGGTTCATATCCCTCTTCCAGGTATGTGCAGATTCTAAGTAGGATTTGAACCCAGCCTATGTTTTTGGTAACTTGGAACTTCTGCTTTTCTATATTGTCTCATCTGAATAAAGGTATCTGCCTGCACAAACAAATCTCCCTAGAACCCAGATCTAATTCAGGTAGCATTGAAAAGCACTCGGTGAAAACTAGGATCAAAAGTTTAAACTGAGAACGTTTTTACTAATTTCTCTGTGGTCCTCTGCCAGCAAGGTGTCAAGCACTGTCTTTATTATGATGCATTTCTGCCTTGCAGGTTTGGCTGGCCGCGCCAGGAGCTGGGTAGCAAAGAGGAGGCGCAAGAAAATTTGCCGCAGTGAAAATGAAGGTAGTGTGGAAATTATATCATGAAGTTGATTGAAGCAAATAATTTCAGTTTACTCATCCAGTGTCCCATATGAGAGAAACTCAGTAAATGCTGTGTCAGGTTCTTCATTTATTTCATTTGTGCCCATTGAAATGCATTTAATCAACGGGTGATGCAACTACACAAGGAAAGTTACGTTGACAACTTAGAGTTTGGTTCTTTTTGTTTACTTTATTTTTGTGAGAAAGTCTCATTTTGTCACCCATGGAGTGCATTGGTGCAATCACAGCTCATTGCAATCTTGACCTCCCCATGTTCAGCTGATCCTTCTACCTCAGCCTCCCAAGCAGTTGGCTGTAATGCAAATGCTTATATTAAGCTATTTTTTTTTAATGTTAGAGACAGGATTTCACCATGTTGCCCAGGCTTGGTTCACTTTTGATAGTAAAGGACATCTCGAATATTTAGACGTTTGCTTTCAGTTTGGGCAATTATGAATACAGCAGATATAAACCTTCTTGTGTCTTGTTTGGAAACAATTTTTACAATGTAACTAAGGCAATGCTAAAATTATGGTTACTTGTATGGTAAGACTACCTTTCTTTGTGAGAATTTTGGTAGAATTTACCGGTGAATTCATCTGAAGGTAGTGTTTTGTTTTGTTTTTTGAGAAGATACTAATTATTGATTCAATTTCTAAAATAAATATAGGCCTATTTAGATGATTCATTTATCTTGAGAAGACTTTTAACCTTCTGAAACAGATCCAGAAAATTAGCTCATTTCATATAATGTATCCAAGTGTGAGCACAGATGTGTTCACAATATTCCTTTATTATTATTTTTGATTCCACTCGTCTTCAACTGATATTATTGGTACATCGTGACTTCCTTCTTTTCCATTGTGGTTAGACAAGGTAGAAGTTCATCAATGTTTTTGATCTTTTCAAATAACTGGTTTTTGGTTTTGTTGATTTTCTCTGATTTCCTGTTTTTTATTCCTTTAATTTCTGCAATCATTATGTATTTTTCCTCTATTTGACATTACACTGCTGTTTTTCTTTCATTGCGGAAGGTGGAAGCTAGATTATGAATTTAGATTTTTCTCATTATTGACACAGCATCATGAATGTTACTCACTGAATATATCATTAAAATGCACAGTTAATAACTAAAATAATAAATATGTGTGCTTTACTATAATTTTAAAAATACAACAGGATAGATAATTGTAGTATCAGGATATGCAGATCCACAGAAGTTAAATAATCCTGTAACGTTTCATAAAATGTTGGGATTCACCTAGACCTTCACGTGGGCAGCAGATCTGATGAGATGCTCTCACTGAGCCATGCAGTGTCTTTCTGTATTAACCGGTTCTCAGACTATTTCACAGTGATGAGGTTGCTGTAGCTAGAAAGCCCAAGGCTCTTTGGTTTCTTTCTGCCCCTCTCCTTTGCCTTCCTTCAACACCAAGGAGAGTGGTCCAGCAGCAGCTCAGTCCATGCTTGTCAGCAGCCCAGCTCCATACACTGCAGCTTCAGTCCACGTCCCCCAAGCCTCCTTGTGGGATTCCTCACAGCACCAGTGCACTGACTGTCTCTCTGTGTCCTCCTAGCTCCCGTTCAAGACCCGGAGGAGGAGACGTCACCTGAGATAGTAAGATGCATTTCTTTGTCTTGAAGAGAAATATCTTTTTCTGGGGCTTCTAGAATGTCAAGTGAGTATCATTTTTGACTGCCATTGTGAATCAGGCCTCAGCTGTCATAGACTCCAGCTACCAGTCACTGGAGCTTATGACCAACTGAGGCCTGATTGATGATGTCAGTCCAAAGGTGACATCACTGACAAGTTAGTAGTGAGCCTATTTCTCAGTAGCAACATTTTCTTCCTGAAAAATAATTTTGTATTTGGCAGCCAACATGGACTTGCTCAATATCCCATGAAAAACCAGGTTCCCGGAAGGTGGACTCCTCCTGGAAGGCCCCTCTGCCTATTAGCTCTAGAGCCCATCAGATTTCCCATGCTCCTTTTCACTCCTGGGGGCGCGGTCTCTGTGTTCTCCCAACTCCCACCAGGTCCTTATGTGGTCATCCCGTGAATCAGCAGAACCGGCTCCTCCCTCTTCTCCAGGGTGTGGGGTCCCTGGGGTTCAGAAACTACTCTCCTGAGCACCCGCATTTATCTCATCCTGGGATTAGGAGCTGCTGCAGGAGGAGAACCGGCAGAAGCTGGGCCTGAGCACCAACCTCAAGCAGGTGGAGGATGAGAAGAATTCCTTCTGGGAACAGCTGGAGAAGGAGAAGGAGGCCACGCACAACCTTGAGAAGCAGATTGCCACCCTCCATGCCCAGGTTTGGAGGCCCAGGGAACTGGCCAGATGCTACAGGCTGGAGAGCTGCTGGCCTGGGCACTGCAGGACAGACTGCTGCTGAGCCAGCCTATTGCTCTTTTCCAGGGAAGCCCCCCTCCCCCCTGCTGTCCCACATCAGTGCTCTTAGCCTGAGGCCATAAGAGAGGAATCCAGGGGTCTGTGGACTTAGATGGGGGACACCACTATTTTCACTGCTATTTTATACTTTATGTTCACCAGTCTAGCTACAATGTAGCACTGCTTCCATTATGAACATAGCCACAAGCCATGGTGCTGGCAGTGCCTGTGCCCTTGTCACCTGGAGAAATGGCCAGTTACCCTGTTAGGGTCATGGCTCAGCTCCTTGGCCTCGTGATTGCCAAGCCTGCGCTGAGTTTGCTATCTGATGTGCTACCTGGGGTCACGTGGCTTCCTGAGTGATGGCAACTGCATTTCTCTATACTGATTGCCTGGGTGATTCCTTATGTTTATTTCATGCCTGTTAAAACATTGTCATGAGAAGGAGTCCCTAGTCCTCTCTATAGAATGTCAAGGGGTCCATAGACTAATGTCAGGGTCCCTGTCGTAGATCCTATTTTAGGCCTCCACGTGGCGGGCCAGAAGGCCTGATCCACCTCCAGATGGGCTGGGAGTTCATTCCAAAGTCAGGGTAGGAGTCGCCTTCGAGCGCATGTGGTTGCAGGTTTATCTGCAGATGCAAGGGCTGAGTTATGGGGACCCCGTGTACACCCCCACAGGGCACTGGCCTTGCTCTCTGGGGGTGGTCCCCCAGAGAGTGAGAGGCTTGGTGTGGATGAGGGCTTGGAATCCCCTCAGCGGGCCTAGGAGTCAGCCTCCCCGCAGCTTCACACACTAGATGGATGCCTTTCTGCAGAAACTCCATTTGTCCTTGCCCCCATGGAGAGGGAAGTGACTGGGGGAGGCAGTTTCATAACTGGGCGGATCCCTGGTGCCCCTTTCACAGTGTGGCAGGCAGGCTCCCAGCTGTCCCAGGGACAGGTGTGTCACCTGAGCAGGTGCCATCTCAGGCATCTGCTTATTCCTTGCTCCTGCCCAGGTGGCCGACATGACGAAGATTGAGGACAGTGTGGGGTGCCTGGAAACCTCAGAGGAGGTGAAGAGGCAGCTCCGGAAGGACCTGAAGGGCCTGAGCCAGGGGCACAAGGACAAGCTGGAGAATACCAAGACATGTCTGCAGCAGGAGCTGGACGACCTGCTTGTGGACCTGGACAACCAGCGCCACATGGTGTGCCACCTGGAGGAGAAGCAGAAGAAGTTTGACCAGGTGTGTAGCCATCCACCCCATCTTTTGCATTTTCTCTCCTTCTGGCACTCAGCCCAAGGCGAGGACCTCATCAGAGAAACCCTGGGCTCCCTTGAGACCTTGCCCGGGAGGGGTCATGCGGGGCCAGCACTTACAGGACCCCTAGTCTCTGGCTTGTTGAGGGGCTTGGGGAGAAGGCCAGCGGAAGAGGGTGTCTTCATGCAGTGGGTTGAGGAGGAACTTTTCCTTTCTGGGTTTTCACGTTTTTTTTCAGATTTCTATAATGAACTGGTTTTCCTGTCATCTAAACCATTTATTTGTGCATCCATATTGCTTCCTTATTCCAAAGATCTGAGGGAAGGTGAGGGAGATGTGAACACCAGGGCGGGATAGACATCGAGCATGGAACTGTGGCGGCCGGGTCCAGCCCGCTGCGTTTTGGGGAGAAAGCTGCATCAAACGCACACACACACTGTCGTTCTTGTGTTGGCTCTGGTTGTTGCGCTGTGGTAGTGGGGTTGAGTTTCTGCAAGACTGTGGGGCCTGTATACCCTAAAGAATGCACTCTTGACTGGGCATTCTTATATGCCTATAAGCTCAGAACTTTGGGAAGCCAAGGTGGGGCGGATCACCAGGTCAAGAGTTCGAGAGCAGCCTGGCCAACATGGTGAAACCCCATCTCTACTAAGAATACAAAAATTAGACTTGGGCCCAGCTGCTCTGCCCTGCTGGGGGCTGTAGCTCGGAGCCTGTGGGGCTGAGCCTCATGATGCCCCTCTCTTTCCCAGCTCCTGGCAGAGCAGAAGACCATCTCTGCCAAGTATGCAGAGGAGCGTGACCGGGCCGAGGCCGAGGCCCGAGAGAAGGAGACCAAGGTGCTGTCGCTGGCCCGGGCCCTGGAGGAAGCCATGGAGAAGAAGACGGAGCTGGAGCAGCTCAACAAGCAGATCCGCATTGAAATAGAGCACTTCCTGAGCTCCAAGGGCAAGAGCGTGAGTGCTGGGCCTGGCAGCCAGGTCTTGGAAGGGGCCCGAGCGGGGTCATCACAGAGGGTCAATGCATACACACCTTTCGGGTCTAGCAGACCCAGGTCCCTGCCAGTCCCTTTGCTCCTGACTTGGGCTCTCTGGGGCTCAGGTTTATGAGCTGAAGTCCAAGTGGGCTCTGGAGCAGCAGGTGGAGGAGATGAAGATCGCCCTGGAGGAGATGGAGGATGAGCTGCAGGACACTGAAAATGCCAATCTGCAGCTGGAGGTCAACCTGCAGGCCATGAAGATCCAGTTCGAGCAGGACCTGCAGGGCCGGGACGAGCAGAGTGAGGAGAAGGTGCAGCAGCTGGTCACACAGGTGTGTGTGGGCTCCTGCTACCCCACGGTGGCCAGGGTTGCCCTGGCTTCACCCAGGCTTCCATTTCCTCCTTCTACCTGGATTGTGTTAGGGCCCTGGACCTCGCCTCCCATCCCCTGTCCCTCCTGTCCAGTCCCCTGACCATTGGGTCAGCGACTCACCTTCTTAGAGTTCTTCGAGTCAGTAATGCCCACTGGCTTCCGGAGGCCCCCGCAGATCCTGCAGAGACACCTGGGTTCAGAGCCAGAGCAGGGTCTCTGAGTGGGTCCAGCTTCCCAAGCTGTCAGTGTTCCTTCCTCCAGGTGTGGGACATAAAGGCAGAGCTGGAGGATGAGAGGAAGAGTCACTCCATGGCAGTGGCCGCCTGGAAGAAGCTGGAGATTGACCTGGAGGCGCGCATCGACTCGGCCAACAAGAACCAGGATGAAGCCGTCGAGCAGATGCGGAAGTGGCGGGTAAGGGCGGGCAGTCCCCAGCTGATGCCAGCTACATGCGAGGGCACTGGGGAGGTTCTGGGTGCTTCCAGCCCCATCTCACTAATGGAGACAGGCTCAGAGGTGAGTGGAAACAATAGTCCAACAGCAAACTTGCAGAACGGTGCATGGCTGAGTACATGAACACAGAAGCAAACAGGCAAGTGCAGGCCTAGGCATGGGGGAGTTCAGAAGGTCCTCACCCAGTGCAGACTCCAGCATCAGCCGCGTCCTGACGCTCCAGCCTTCTGGGCTCCGGCGTGATGGTTCCGAGAAGCAGCCTAGAGTGTGGGATACATACTTGGAAATTTTCACCTCACCAATAATTGAAGAATAATGAACACATTAAAAACAGCTCTGATATGTCATATCATGTAGCAAGAATAACCCTAGGTTTAAAATACATTTGAGTCAGTGTCTTGCTCTTTTGCCCAGGCTGGAGTGCAGTGGCACAATCTTGTGTCACCAGAACCTCTGCCTCTTGGGTTCAGGCGATTCTCCTGCCTCAGCCTCCCGAGTAGCTGGGATTATAGGTGTGTGTTCCCATACCTGGCTAATTTTCGTATTTTTAGTAGAGATGGCGGTTCACTGTGTTGGCCAGGGTGGTCTCAAACTCCTGACCTCGTGATCTGACAGCCTCAGCCTCCCATAGTGCTGGGATTACAGGCGTGAGCTGCTGTGCCTGGGCAAAAAAAAATCTGTAAAAGCTAACTGTGGGCAACGTTGTGGGGCACAGATACTCTGCTGTTGGCATGTTCTGCTGCTGTGGACTGGCTGCACACACCCAGTCGTGCACTTGGCTTGGGGAATCTGTTTTTGGAGTTATCTGCAAATGGAAAAAAAAGAGTATTTGACAAAAATCTTTAGCATTAAAACAAATGGGAGGTGGGTAACAAAAGGAAAGGTGTTTCCTGCCTGTGGTGGGGACACCTGCCAGGCTGGCACTGGTTTTAAAGCGGCGGGTGCGCATTAGGGGTGGCACCGTGGGCACTGGTCTCCCGCCCACAGAGGGGACTAGAAGTGGAGAATGAAGCTCAGCCTGGGCTTGCGTCCACAGTGACCAACACTGTCAAAGTGTGAGTTATGAAGTGGGACACAGATTTTTGTCCTCAGTTGCTTTTTCTCCCTGTCACCATGGTTGGTTAAATATCGAGCAGAGTACAGGCCATCCCTGTGTGCGAGATGACGCTCGAGGGTGGGGGTGGAGGGCCGAGGGCCAAGGACCTGGGTGGGGTGCCAAGCCTCTGTCCCTGCCCCAGGCCCAGGTTAAACACTGCATGCGTGAGCTGGACGACACCCGTGCCTCTCGCGAGGAGATCCTGGCCCAGGCCAAAGAGAATGAGAGGAACCTGAAGAGTGTGGAGGCTGAAATGATCCACTTGCACGAGGTGGGTGGGATGGCAGTGGAGAGTGGCACTGCTGCCCTGCAGCTAGCAGGTCGCAGCACAGGGCTTTCAGCAGAGGGCTAGGGTCTGACTCAGCTCTCCTGTTACAAAAGGATTCCCTCCAGGGTTCCATTACATAGTGGGCCTCCCTGGTATGATGAGATTGTGTGAGTGAAATGCCTCACATCAGATGAGGCTCCGTGGCTGCCACCACCTGCC